TTTGTGAGAATTTTTGTAATTTTTTGGTCTGAAAGCCAAGCTTTTTTTGGAGGTGCCATTCGTTTTTTTTTTTTTTTTTTTTTTTTTTTTTTTTTTTTTTTTTTTTTTTTTAAAAAAAAAACAAATGTTTTATAAAATTTCTGTTCAATCTTTAATTGTTGTTGATTATCTAATCGTTAAAAGAATCTTTCAATTCAATAAAATTTTACTTATTATTACAAATAAATGTATATTTCTTATATTTCATATGTTTCTTGTATTTCATGTATTTGCATATACTTATTTTTTATATGTTTATATATTTGCGATATATTATTATAATATAATACCAACCTTCCTAAATATAAATGTGATATAATTTCAGAAGCATACATATTTGTTAAATAACCAGTTTGATGTTCATTCATTTGAAAATTTTCATTCTTCCATGATTCAACGACGCTCCAGCCATTTAAATCTATTAGTGAATTATCATTATTTTCTTCGTTTTGTAAATGTTGTTGATAATGAGGGGAAGGAAGAGGAAGAGATGGATTTGTGAGGGGATCGCTCATTTTTTAAATTTATTTAATAAATTTTATTTGAAAATTTAATTTGGAAATTTTTAAAGAGTGTATAATGAGCGTAGAAAATTATTTGAGAATTCTAAAAGAAATTGAAAATTTTGTATTATAACAAGAGAAAAAAACTATATATAATAAAAAAAAAACTGTCCAAGGCAACAAACAAAGACAAAGGAACAAAAAACGTGTAACACTTTAATTTATATAATTTAAAAAACTAGAGGTTAAATAATAAAAATAGATTGGTTATCATTTCACTAGATTCCCGACGGGAGAACTGAAATTAACTGCTTATTAATTGTTTACTATTGTTAATTTATTGTGTTTTAATTTACATTTGAAAGAAATGCCAAAACTTTTTTTTTTTTTTAGAAAAGTATTCTTCCAACAGAAAAAAAAGATCCGCAGTTTGAATTACCTTTTATGTAACACTATACTGTAAAAGGATATTCTGAACACAAATTCATATAAATGAATGAAATATTATGATTTTTTTTGTTTATAATTCCCCACGTGGTGTAAAGAGTACGTATTAGACACTTGTTGCATTTCAATACCTTACAGTTTCGTTGTACAAAACAATATAACAAAGAAATTCAGACATTTTATACATTCCATAAATTTTTTTGGTGTTTATTGGTGCTTAAAAAAATATATTCATCCTTTCACCTGATGATAAATATATTCCGAATAGAATTGGATATTAATCAATATAAATATTAATATTTATATAAATTTTTAATAACGAGCTTTTCGTTTTATTAGATTATATGATAATTATTGGTGTAATTCTTCATAAAGAAGCAAAAAAGAACAAAGGAATCTTTTCATACAACTTGATTAGTTAACTTCGGTTTTTTTTTATTTAGATGCACAATTTACTGGTTCAAATTGAATTTATGCACCTTTTTTAAAAAATGTACTACATACGATATCCAAGAATAAACATAATAAACCTTTTTATTTCTTAACTTAGAAAACAAGTTCATAACTCAAATTTCAGTAAATTTTAAGTTTTATCCCCCCACAAAATTAGAACAAAATTCAGCGAAACGCCTAAAATGGCTTTGTATGCACCCAAGAGATATTTCAAACATATATAAATGTTTCAAATATAATAAATATTTTCTGCAAATGTCAGAAATGCAGTATAAAATAAATATATCACACGTTATCTATAATTAAATTTTTTATTTTTAAATATTCTCTTAAATTTTCCGAGGTATAACGAGCATCCCGAAGCATACTTGGAGCAGTGTTGTCATTGGACAACGCTGAAAAATGCCTCGGAACACTCATTTGATAACACTATTACACGTGTTATTTAAATTTTTTTATGATAAGATTAACCAATCACTCACTATCGATATCAAAATAATTTTTTTAAGATAAAAAAATGATGTGTGAAGATTTATTTTCATTAAATGGCTTTATTTCGTAGGGCCAAATTTTTATTCAAATATTCTATCTCGCCACATTCTTTTGTGGTTAAAAATATTCCAAGAAATGGAATTAACTATAATGTTATCAAGCTTGGAACGGTTAATTTTAATCACAACTTAACCACAGCGGCGACTACTACTACTACTAGTAGTATAACAAATGTTCCGCCAGGAGTATTAAATAAAAAAAACAAAAATAAAAAAAAAGATAAAAATTCTGATATTATTAATACTGTCAAAACAACAGCTGTAAATGAAAATAACGATGAAGATGAAGATGATATTAATATTGATGGAGATGATGATAAAAGTTTAATGAAAAAGGAAGTAATTAAAAGAAAATTAGCTCAATTGTATAATAAAAAAAGTGAAATTAAAATCGAAGCTGAGAAGAATAATAAATTTTATATGAATAATTATATAAATAATATTAATCTTGAATTATTCAAAGGTAGTTACCACAATAAGTGTTATAATAAAATAAATTTTTTATCTTGTCACAATAACTGTAATAACTGTTAAAGAATCGATCGAAATAATGCAAATTGTAAAAATAGTAAATTGGAAATTGATTTTTATTATTATATAGATTTTCCAGCTTGGCTTGATGGATTAGGAATAAAACCTTTAGCACCACTTTTCAAAGGTAAATCATGGGAAGAAATTGCCAGTTATTCAATAAGAGATATTGAAGTTATGGGAGTAGTTCATAGAGAATTAATAAAAAGACTAAATAGACATCTCATGAAAGTCAGAGGTCATTTAGTAAGTATTATATCTATTATATTTTATTATCTTTATTATATTTTATCTTTATTATATTTTATTATATTTTATTATATTTTATTGGATATTGTATCTATTCATTTAATTTAATTGCATATTAATTTTTGTATTTATAATAAGGCCAAAAATGATACGCCCATACTGGAGCGAACAGTTTCTGATGATGGAAATATTTCAAAAATTACTGATGCTAAATATAATGTAAAAGAAGGTAATGCAATTAAACACGTTTACATACATTATTTATAATAAATAAATAAAATTAAAGTTAAATATTTATAATAATAATATTGTTATTATTATTATTATTATTATTTACTATTGTTAGACATTGTTTTCCGGCTTCATGCGCTAACTGACGGAACTGGAAGGTATGAACCATTTCTTAGGGGATTGGAATGGGATGAAATGATGTCATTAGGACGTAAAGCCTTGGTGAAATTAGGTATTGACAAACCGAATATGTTGATTCAAGCTTTTCGCCTTGACGCAAATCCTTTGGTAAGTAATTCGTTTTTATAATTTTTTATAATTTTTATTTCTTGTCAAAATTTGAATACACGAAGATTTTCTAGTAGAAGAATGATCACAAATTACTCAAATATTTTAAATATAATCAATGTTAACAATTTAATATCTAGATTATAAATGAAGAGGCACAAGCTAAATTTATAAAGTATAATGCGTTTTACAAAGAGAATTATATTGATAAAACTAATTTTGAATTGTTAGAAGGTATTATAAATTTATTATCAATTTATTATCACGATTATTTTTAATTCTTATTATTATTTTTAATTATTTATTAAATTTTATGATTTGTAATAGATTTTCCTGCTTGGCTTGAAGGTTTAGGATTGAAACCTTTAGCATCACGTTTCAAGAGTATGATATGGAAAGATATTATTAAATTAAGATCGGAAGAGTTAGAAGGATTAGGTATTTATAATACCAATATTAGAAGAAGATTAATTAAACATTTTTTGAGGGCACAAAGAGATTTGGTCAGTATTAATGAAATTTTTTAAAATTGCTTTATTATTATAAATTAATATTATTTCTAATTCTTATATATGGTAAATAATAAATAGGCTGTAGCAAATGGACAAGTTTTACCAGTAGAAAAGATCAAAGAATTTCCCAAAATGGAAGATATTATTCAAGCTCCGATTGATTTTAAGATTTTAGAAGGTAACAATAATATTCTTATACAATTGATATTTTAAAAAAATTTTTTCTTTCTTTTTTTTAAAATCGATATCATATTAATTAAAATAATTTTTTTTTTTTAATTCAGATGTACCTTGTTGGTTACATTCAATTCGTGATGAATTTGGAAAATTTGCACCATTCTTTGAAGGAAAAAATTGGAAGGAAATAATCAATCTTTCTAAAAATGAGTTAAAAGAAATGGGTATTTTTGATTTTGAAATTAGGAATACTTTACATAAAGGATTGGAATTGCAGAAACAAGCATTCGTAAGTAAATCAATTTGCTAAATTTATTATTATTATTATTATTATTTTTCATTTATTCAATAATTTCGGGGGGGTTTTATTTTATATAGGTTGCTCAATCCAATTCTATTTAACTTTATAATTTAAATATGTAAATTGGTAATATTATTTTTATTAATTATATTATAAAATAAAAATCTGAAATTATATAAATTACAATAATAGCTTTGTTAAATAATCATGTGAAAAAGTTGTAAAATGCAAAGACTTTATTGTTATTGTCTTATTAATATTACGTTTGTTTATTTGTAACACGTCGTGATCTGTGTAAGTTTGATAGTTGCATTCGATGATCTAATCTCTATTTTTTTTCATGCATATGGCTTCTCTATTTCGAGATGTTAAAATTTTGTTAAAAAATAATTCAAAATCTAATATTTCCAATATTTATGATAAAAATTTTATTCGAAAATTTCATGATATAAAAATCCAACGTCCTATTTTAACTTCTTTCCCACATTCATTTTTAAAACGTATTCCAAAAAATGCTAAAAATTCAAATATTATCAACCTGAGAATAATTAATTTTAAACATAATTTATATACTTCGGAAAATAATATCATTAAAGTTTCCGAAACTATTCCATCAAAGAAAATAAAACCTGTCAAACCAATTATTGTAAATGATAAAGTTGAATTTATTTATGAAGCAGAAGAAAATAATGAATTTGATGAAGCAGAAACTAACGAAGTAGAAGCCAATGAATTAGCAGCAGCCGCCAATAATTCTGTCGAAGCCAAAGCTTGGCAATTTAAAAAAGAAATAAGAAACGTATTTGAAAATGATAGAGAATTTTATATAAAAAATTATAAAGCAAAAATCAATATTGAATTGTTTAAGGGTATTTTAGATTTTTATAATTAATAAAAATATAAACCAATTTTAATTATTATCATTATCAATTATAATAATAATAATAATAATTATTATTATTATTATTATTACCAATTATAGAATTTCCAGCTTGGCTCAGAGGTTTAGGATTGAAACCTTTAATACCACTTTTTAAGGGAAAATCATGGTTAGAAATTGCTAATATGCGTATGAAAGAATTACTCAAAGCAGGAATAATTCATTTAAATCTCAGAAGAAGAGTACATAGACATTTAATTAGAGTTCGGAATGAACTGGTATTATATTTATAATTATGGTTTTATAATTAATAAAAATTTTATTAATTCAAAAATTTTATATAATAAAAGGTTAAAACAGAAGGAGTTAGCTTTCGAAATGAAATACCAGTTTCAAAAAAACGTCAAGATATTCCTGCCTTAAGTCTTCCGGCTAAATATGATGTGTCTACAGGTATTTTATTATGCATAAAAATTTTCATTTTGTTAATATTTAGAAAAATAATAAAAATAATTAATTTATTAATATTATAATTAGATTTGAAATGTAAGCTACATTCACTTGCAGATGGAGCTGGATTATATGCTCCATATTTTAAAGGACTGTCATGGAGAGAAATTCTGTACTTGAATGGTGAAAAAATGAAGCAATTGGGTATTACCAATGTAAACGCTCAACAATTATTGCTTCGGGCTTTTATGACTGAGAGAACACCTCACGTAATAATTATAAATTAATTTTGTAAAATTCAAGAAAATAATTTAAATAAAAATTCTAACAAAAATTTATCTTTAAAAATTAGAAAAGAAATGAAGTGGCACAGGAGATTTTTGCAAAGAATGCTTCATATTATAAAGAGAATTATGTTAAAAAAACTAATTTTGAATTATTGGAAGGTATTTTATAATTCCTTTATTCATATTTTAATAATTATAAATAATATTATAATATTTACATAATGAAACATGAAAATTTATAGATTTTCCAGCATGGCTTGAAGGTTTAGGATTAAAACCTTTAACAATGCGTTTTGCAGGCATACCTTGGCAAGAAATAATTAAATTAAGGTGGAGTGAATTAAAAGAAATGGGAATTTATAATTCATATCTTAGGAAAAGATTGATTAAGCATTTCATGAGAATTCAAAGAGATATGGTTTGTATTATAATAAATTAGAAGAGAGAAGAAATTATAAATTAATATTTTTGCTAATAAAAATTGTTATTTCATATATGATAAATATAGGCTGCTCAAAATGGAATTGAATTATCACCTGAAGATAGCGTAATGAAAGAGATTCCTAAAATGGAAGACAATATAACTGCAAAAATTGACTTTTATGTGTTAGAAAGTACATTTATTTATTTATATTTTTGGTTTGCTCTTATATTACATTTAATATTTTTTTAATTACTTATCTTTATAATTTATAATTTTATATTTAGATTTACCTTGTTGGCTAAACTCGATACGAGATGATTATGGAAGATTTGCTCCATTCTTTGAAGGTTTTAAATGGTATGAAATTATTGAACTTTCAGGAGAACAATTAGGAAAATTAGGTATTTTAGATTATGAAACCAGACGAATATTACTTAGAGGTTTTAAAGCACAAATAAGGGCTTTTGTAAGTAAATTCATAATGGTTAAAAAGTTTATTATTATTATCATCATTATATATTGTTTATCTAATCATTGATTTGTAATAAATTTGATTGAATAGGAAGTTCAAAAAATAGACATAAATGAAGTGGTCAAGAAAGAAAATTCCGATGACATGAATAAAGGATTCAAGAAAAAAAGTTCTGTTTACAAGAATAAAATAAGAAATTCTAAGACTAATGGTAATTAGGGAATTTTATTTTATTTCATTGATTTGACATGATCTTTCTATTTTATGTATTAATAATGAAGGCATATTTAAATTATTTTTGGAAGACATATACAATTTACTTGTTCAAAAGAAATTTTAATACGCAAAATAAAATTGTACATAATTATTCTTGAATTTTAATTATAATATTTAAATATTTATTAATTATAAAAAAAAAAAAAAATGAAATAAGGGTTTTGTTTGTCTCTTTGGGTTTTCAAACTTTTTCATTTATTTTCTTTATAGTGAATAAACGACATTTGAGCCCCAAATTTCTAACATTTTTGCATCTTGTTCAGCTTTAACTTTTGTATAAGAAGTAAATAAACTTTTAATAGTTGGTTCCAATTATAAATACCCGTATTAGATTCAATTACGATGTATAATTTTGGGAATAAGTATATTCATGATATTTAATGAAATATAATTCACATATTATGAAACGATGAGTTTGTTTATACCCATTACAACTATTACAACTTCTAATTTAAATCCTAGATTTTGTTTTTGAGATCATATCGAACAAAAATGCTGTTAAGATTTTTTTATAACATGCATAATTTCTTCAAAAGAAATAATTTCACAAATATTTGTTCCTATTAATAAATTATCAAATCTTTAAAGAATTTTAATTTCATAAGTGTAAAATATTTCAAGAACAGAAGAACAATTAATGGTAAAGAAAGAGAATTAGTAATGACTCGTTGTAAACATGAAAACTTTTGAATTTGTACAAACTGACATTTAGTTGATATAAAGTATTTCTTTCATATTCAGTTAAATTTCAATTCAATGCCATAGTTAATAAATGTATTTGATAAAGTTTTTTCGAATTCCAAAGATTTTTAGTGACTACCAAATAAGATTGTGTGAATATAATCATATTTTTTGACATTCCTTTAAGCATACATAATTATATTATTGAAAAGTTGTCAAAATGACAACTTTCAAAGTAATAATATTAAAATTGTCAATGTGAAGAAGATGAATAGAATTGGTGGATGAAGAAAGTGAAGAAAAATAAACTTTTATAATTATAAATGTATCAGCGAAGCCTTGCCTCGAGAATTTATTAGTAAAAAATCAATGTGTATCATTACATATATTTCTATACAACCTTATTCATAATCTATTCTGCTGTTAACAGACTGAGACTACCAAGGACTGCAACCTACTGCCTGGAGCAACAGCTACACTTAGCATGTCCCAAAACTTATCATTATATATTATACATTAAAATGAACTACATACAACAAAAGATTAATTAAGTTCGCATAAATTTATTTTCATACAAATATCCATATTATTATTTATGATGGTCATATGGATAAACCAATATGTTTGCGCTATGCTACAGATTAGATGAATTATATTAAACAGCAATAAAATTTGTTGATGAAAAAGAAACATTATGCGGGTGAATGGTGATGAATCGAATAATTTTTTAAAAAAACCTTTCAAATAATATTAGCAGAGCAGACAGTACATTTTTTATAATATCCCAAGCAATATTATCAAGCCAAAAATGATAACAAAAAAATAGCATTAAAATCTTTTGGCTCACAACCCAGAATACAATTCCCATCAATGATCAATCTTTTATTACAAGCAATATTAGCAAGTCAAAAAAAAAATAAAATATAAACACTTAGTTAGCATTCGATTCTAAAGTCATTGATCAAAGAAAAGAAATACAAACGAATCAAGTACAACAATAAAAACAATAAAATGAGTATTAAAATCGCTTAGCGTCCAAATTCAACTTCCATGTCAATAAGCAATCTGTTATTTATTAAAAAAATGTCCTAACAATGTTAACAAATCAAAAATGATAACAAAGAACATTTAATTCACTTGGTTGGCATTATTCCCAGATAGATATATACTGTATATATTTAAAAAAATAACCTCTCAAGCGATATCAGCAAGTCAAATATGATAACAAAAGAAATAACAAAGAATATTGCTAACTAATATTCCTCGTATTCCCATGCCAAAACCCATTTGTTATTTATTAAAAAGAAAACAACTTCTCAAACAATATTAGCAAGCTAAATATGATGAAAAGAACAATGATAAAGAATATTAAAATCATTTAGCTGATGATGGTCTTAACAAAAGAAAAAACAAGCAACATTAGCATGATGGCATGCATATTTTTCTTAAATCAATAAACTAAATGACCTAATTATAATTTATTTGAATAAAAATTCATAAATGTTTCTAATATTTTGTAGGGTCTCCTTTATTCTTTATTACAGCACTAATTCTTTTTTGGCATTCTTTTACTAATTGAATAATTCCATTCTGCTTTTGATATTTTTTATTTTTTTTGGAAGGTTTAGCTTTCAATTTTTTTTTCTAATATACCATAAATTTCAATTTGATTATGATCAGGATTTTGAGCAGGTATTTTCCTTCCACATTTTCATTTTAGTTGAAGCATGACAAGGTGTATTATTATCTCGAAGATATGATTCTCTGTAACTAAATAGTTTTGAAATGCAACTATATTTTTCAAGTAATTCAATATACCCACCCATTAGAATTGAGTGTTCCTTCAATTAATACTAATGGACTATATTATGACAAAACATCCTCAAACCATAAATTTCAACTGTTGGTTTTAAACAGTTAACTTTATATATTTTATCTTTTTTATGCCAAACCCAATTTCTTAAATCATCGTTAAAAGTCAAAATCACTTTGATAATTTTTTCCCATTCAATGATCCTATTTTTTTGTAGAATTCTACATAGGGATGTTAATAGTTATAAATAAACCGGTTTTTTGCTCAACTATGGTTCATTTTATACGGTTGAACTGTCAGTTCAACTGTTTATTTTATATGGTTGAACCCAGTATACACGGACAATGTCCGCTGTCCGTGTTTCAACAAATAAGAATATTTTCCCGAGGAGGTGATTATCACGTGAAAATGTCCAACGAATGAGAACCATTTTCTACTAGACATCATTCACATGAACACAGCATCCATCATGAAATTTCCCGAAATTAATTAATATTAGAGTGAGGACTAGTTAAAATTAGGATTTAAGTAGATAATATATGTAAAATTTCCAGCCCAACACTTTTTATTAATATACTAATATATGTTTAGACATCTGTTTCTTGTATTTTTCGTGTTTTTCACTTTTTTTTTGCTTCGTTGATCCATATAAACAAAAATTCACGATTTTAATTGGCCAAGGTCAACGGAAAATCTCATGATGTACCTGGCTTTAAACGACCCAAATTCTGTCAATGTCCATGTCTGCATCTGTTGACAATACTGGTTGAACCAATGGTTTAACTGTTCATTTTATATGGCTAAACCATCAGTTCAACCATTCGTTTTATAATAATAATAATAATAATAATATAAATCTCTTTATACTGTATAATATGAAAAATTATAATATTTAATGATGAAACATTAACTTTGCGTAGAAAAGTCCAATTTTGATGAAAATCTACCAAAATGTTCGCCTCAAATAAGGGGGAATCTAATGACGCGAAAATCGAGCACAAGGTAACGAATAGTTCCATATAACCTGAAAAATAAAATTTATAATAGAATTTCTAAGCAAATGTTTGGTTAATAACTTGGTGTAGAGATGTACAATCTGGATGAAGCTATCAGAAAAAATCAGAACACGTTATTGAAATCACTCCATAAAACAAAGAGAATTTTGCTTATTAACTAAATAAACTGTTTCAGTTAATTAGAGATACCATCTTTAGTTGAAATCAATGGTTGAACCGATGATTGAACCAATGATTGGACCAATAGTTGAACCAATGGTTGAACCAATGGTAAACCGATGGTTTGAACTGATGGTTGAGCCGAAATTAAAACCATGGTTCAGTCCAACCGATGATTTTTGAACTGAATCAACTTAGTCAAACTGATAACATCCTAAAAAAACTCGTCTAGTCAAGACAATAAAAAATATCAAGTAGTCTATAAAGAAAAGCGATTAGTAGTATTTCATAGTGTATTCAATAAATACATATAAAAAAGGAGCATACAAAAAAAAAGAATACTAGTCAATGCAAAAATTAGTAGTTCACTCTGTAAAAAATAGATAAACAATAATTAATTCAAGAAAATAATTTAAACAAAAAGTTTTTCTCACTCAGACTAAAAAAATAAGTTAGAAAAGTAAAAGTAAGAGAGAGGGAAAATTTTTTTGTACTCAAAACACTTTTATTTATAGGTACTTGATTCGATGGTAATATAATTTTTGTGTTGTGTTATTTGTACTGTATATTGAATAAAATAAATAATTATTTAATCTTTTATTATATAACATAATTCATTCTAACTTTTCCCAGAATACATATAACCTTTTTTTTTATTATAGTAAATTTAATATTTTATCTCCAAGGTTTAAAAACTTATTAATATTATCTTTTATTTATATTTTAATTAAATTATTCTTATAGAGGAATTCTTTTAAATTTTCTTTAAATTCTGAAGGCGTTGAAGAGAAGACGAAGGAGAATCGAGAGTTGAAGTGAAACCGGATTTAACAAATTATCATCTTGTAATCTATTATTATTACTTATTTGATGTATTGACTAACTAGAATTATTGGAAGTATTTTTTGATTAGATGATGAATATGAACCTGTTAATTTTTATGATATGATATTCTTATCAGATTCAATTATTATTCCTTTAAAGTATCTTACTAATATTCTACTCTATTCTATACTGATAAAAATCTTAATAATAATAATAATAATAATAATAATAACAAAACAATTTAAGCAGAAAAGTAATATCTTTTTTTGTATTAATTTTTTGAAGATTTCTTTTTTAATAATAATTACCGACTGATTTGTTCAAATTTTATACAGTACATTCATGTGCTTTATGCATATATGTAAAGTAATATATTTACTGTAAAACTTGTTATACGTATTTACAAATAAAGGAAATGAAAAATCTATAGCACACAAATGTACCATACCATATCTTGAGGGCCATAGTACTCCGGGTCTTTAACAAATTTTGGACTTTTTTTCCTTATACCCAGGGTACTTTACATCTAAACACAAAGGGGAAGGGGGTATTGTAAACAATCAATAGAAATTAGTATACCATTTAACATACCCAGATATTTTTTTAAAAAAAACATTCAAAATTTTCAAAAGGGGTAATTTGCACAGGAAGTACTATGGCCGAAAATTACGGTATTTATTTAATAATATAAAATATAAAATCAAATAATGTTGTTAAACAATATTTATTCAACCAATATAAAATATTTTAATATTGAATTACTTTATTGAACCATTGTTACCATTACTTTATTGTTACATTGCATTGTTAAATTATACGAGGAGGTGATATTTATTTGATAACCACAATGACAATGAAGATTTACTAAATTTGTAAACAATAAATATAATTATATCTCACATTACAATAATAAGTAAAAACGGATCGTCAATTCATTAGGTAGTTCGTTGGTTTGTGTAACATACATTTTAAATATATAATAACACATTTTATTATTATAAAATAAATAAAATTCCATGACTGATAATAATTAATGAACACACACACAATCAAAACGAAAGAAATAAAAATAAATAAATAAATAATGACAACAACTTTTAATATTAAGGAAATTTGAATATATTTTGGATCATATTGGATTAATATGGAATATAAAAGATATATTTATATGGAATACAAAGGATCAAGTTTTTTTTTTATTTATATAGAAATTATTGAAAGATGATTTTATGATTGCATAAATCTTTTTTATGTATGTATATATATATATATATATATACATATATATATATTGAGCGAAATAAAAAAAAAGCTTAAATAGAAAATATAGGAAAAAAAAAAATAGAAAAATATCGTAGATGGTCTCTTCATTTTTTTTTATCATTATCATCATTATAATTATTATTTTTTACTTTATTTGAACAAACAAACAACAATGAAAAAAAATTAATTGTCAATTCTAAAATTGGAACAAGGTTGAAACGGGAAACCGTACACAAAAGAAATAAATCTACACGTTTTTCTTGTTCTTTATTTTTATCGGTTACACGGAAATATTCACTCGACTGTTTTTGGTGTTCTTTTTGATTTCCATAATTTGATGTAAATTTCTATAATTTGATGTAGTTGTAGCATACACACGTTTGGAAAATATTTCTTTCATTATTGATATATTATTTTATTGTATTGATATTCATTGATATTAAATAAATAAACTGACAGTATATTTTGTTATTTCAATTTATAATAATAATAATAATTATATGATAATAATATATAAATAATAATATCATTAAGTATTATAAAAATACATTACACAATGAATTGTACAGCATTTTAATTCTTATTTTTAATTGCTTTCTTATTTATTTTTCGTATTTTTCTTATTTTTATTATTCTTTAAAAATTATTATATTAAATTTATTTTATTCTCTAATCTTAAAGAACTCCTTTTCTACCAAATAAATTATTGTTCAAAAATTTATTTTTTTAAAAAAAAACCAATAATATAATATATATAATATTCGTGTTTTTACGTAAATCTCGTGTTTGCTATATTTGTCAATCAAATCCAACAATTCAAATTTTCTTTCCCTTCTCTTTTTTTTTTCTTTTTCTCTTTTTCTCCTTTTCTCTTTTGATTTTTTCGTTCTTCTGATTTCTTTTGATTCTTCCTATATTTCTTTTGATTCTTCGGGAAAAAGAATCCAAATAGATTTTAAAATAAATACAGAATATAAATTTGAATATAAATTTTGATATAACTTTGAATATATGACATTTATTATAGATGTCATCTCTTAAATTTACAAGATTTTCTCTTTTAAAAATAGATTTCACCAACAAATATAACTTTAAAATTAAAATAATATTTATTTCATATATACAACTATTTTTATTTTTATTATTTATTTTGATTCAACCAATTTTTTCATATCCAATATATAATGTTACAACGATTTCTCCTAGATGGGGTCACACTGCAACATTGATAAATAATTCAATTTATTTTGTAGGTGGAAAATCTACCATAATCACTGATGATACATTTATAACAGAATTTTTACGATTACCTATTAATTCAAGTTTTAATTCTTCTTCACCACCTTGGATTTCTTTGGATCCTACTTATATGCCTAAAGTATTTCGTCATACGACAGTTTTTGCTGGTGATGATAAAATTTTAGTTTTTGGTGGTAGTGTCGATAATTACAATTATTCTGATAATAATAGTAATAATAATTCAATTTTAATGATTTATGATGATAAAAATAAGAATTGGACAGATCTTATGAATTCAAATAATTTACCATTTACTAATGGACCATCTAGAATATATCAACATTCCGCCGTCACTTTGGGTTCACAAAATGATGAAAATTTATTATTTTTAAATTATAATGATACTTCAAATACAATAAATACAATAAATACATTATCAAATACATCAAATACATCAAATTCTTCAATAACAAATATTATAATGTTAATATATGGTGGATTAAAAGATATTTCAACAGGTTCAAATAATGAATATATTTCATCTGAATTATGGGGATTTTATTTAAATGAAAGTGATGATAGAAGATGGCAAGGATTTCCTTCATTACAAAGTTCACCTGGTTCATTATATCATCACACTGCCAATATAATTAATGAAACTTTAATGATATTAATTGGTGGTATAAGAGGTAATGATGAAATGTCTAAAATGAATAAAATTTATGTATTTGATTTTATAAATACGGAATGGACGATTTATGATGCTAAAGGTCAAATACCAACTCCAAGAAGAGATCATTCTGCTGTTGGTAGGTTTTGAAATGATATATTTTAGGAATAGACGCGTAAAAATGTTAGTAGATTATTATTGATATTATATATATGTATTTCTTTTTAGCTTTCCAAACCAGTATAATAATTTACGGAGGAACGGATTTAAATGCAACCACTATTTACGGAGATGTTGCAGTATTGGATACTATTACTTGGGAGTGGTCAGCTTTCCCTACTATTAATACTCCTCCTGGAAGATATTGTCATACTGCTAATTTAATAGGTGCAAATATGATTATTGCATTTGGTAATTATTATATATTACATATTATATATTATATATTATTATATTATATATTATTATATTATATTATTATATATTACATATATATTATTATATTATATTATTATATTATTATATTATATTAACTTTCTTTATATTTTAGGAGAAACCGAATTTCTAGATACCACAATCGATAAAAACATTTACATTCTCAATATTCTTAATTGGACATGGTTAGATATTTATATTCCTACAAATCTTCCTCCTTCTCATTCAATTTCAGCTTCTCCAAGTAACACAACAAATACAACTATAACTATTACAACTACCGTTCCATCGTCACCTGATTCTACCTCATTAATTTTAGAAAGAATACCACGTGGATTAATAATAGGTTTAGCACTTACAAGTTCAATAATTGCATTAATGTTATTAATAATGTTAGTGTGGTATTTAGATAGAAAAAGGCATAAAAATGAAAATAATGAAAATAATGAAAGTAATGAAAGTAATGGAAATAATGAAAATGGATTATTAGGAACTGTTAATGGTATTCCTCCTTCACCTTCATCATTTCCTTGTGAAAATGATGATGAAAATAGTTTTTATTGTCGAGATAATCGAGATAATCGAGATAGCAATAAATATAATAATCATCGAAATAGTATTCGAAATAGTATTCGAAATAGTATTCGAAATAATGGAAGAGAAGAAGAAATAGAAGAATCAACAAATGAAAATTCGAAATTAAAAAGAGAAAAGTCAAAAAATTTTCAAAAATTGATGTTACGTTCAAGAGATGAAAAAGATATAACAATAATAGATGATACAAGTTTAAGTTCTTCATCAGCCACAACTCCTAGAACTCCTAGAACTCCTATACAATCTTCAATGAATATTTATAATTTGGGTAATAATATTAATATTAACAGTATGAATAATAATATTAATAATATTAATACTAATACATTAACGGATACAACAAATTCGACATTACATACGCGTTCAAATTCTGAAACAATATCTATCGCTGCCTCTAATGTTGGTATTAGTGGAATTAGTGAAATAGCTGATGGAAAAAGAAGTGTAAAATTTAGTAATATAAATAATAATAATTATAATAACAATGAGGATAATAATAATAATAATAATAATAATAATAATTCACGAAGAGGTAGTTTAATTGGAACTTTTAGTTTTGGTAATAATAAAAATAATAACAATAACAATAATAGTGGTGGAAGTGGTAGCAATAGTGGAGGAGGTGGAAGAAGAGGTAGTTTTCCACGTTTAAGTAGTAGTAGTATAAGTAATATATTTAAATTAAGCAACAATGATTATAACAAAAATGAGAAAGGTGAGAAAAGTAATAAAAATGATAAAAGTAATGAAAGAAATAGTAAAAAGAATAGTAAAAGAAAAAATCAGAGAAAACGTAATAAACGACATAATAAACAGTTATCATTTCATTCATTGCAATTTTCTCGAATAGGAAGAGGTAGAGGAAGTGGTGGAAGAGAAGAAGGAGAAGGAGAAGGAGGAGAAAGAGAAGGGTATTCTTCAGAACCTGAATTTAGATCAAGTTTTGATAGTGCGGATATTATACATATTGCTAGAGGTTTAGAAGTACAACGACATAGTATATGTGGTGATTCGTTAGTGGTAGTAGCTAGAAATAGATTAAGAGTCGTAAATCCCGATATTCGTCGTGATGATGATGACGACGACGACGACGATGATTCATAATAGCACGCTTTATGGTGGGAAATTTCGAAAAAAAACAAAATAAAATAAAAAGATAAACTTGCATATATACATTATTTTTTATGAATATCTTGTCCTGCATAAGTATTTATAGAAATAAGTATTCTTTCATTCCATTTAGACAATAATAATATTTAGACGAAAACGATAGAAGAAAATGTGCCGATCTAAAAAAACTTTAAAAAATATTGATATTTGTAATTTGTAAAATATTTCGATTCCAATGATTGTAAATAGCATTAGCATACACAATATAATTCCTAATTATACCAATTTATAGCTTTTCTTCCAAAAAAAAAATAATAATAATAATAATAATAATAATAAAATTAGTACTTTTATCGATTTGTTAAAAGATTTCCTTGACAATAAAAATAGTAATATATATAAGGTAAGGTTTCACAATGCAAAATAATAAAATAATAGAACACATGGTTTATACAATATATATATAAACTGATTTGCATTTCTACAATAACTGATATCGCTTCGCTTTAATAAATTTAATATATAAAAAATATGAATTTAGAAAGTGAAAAATTAGAAAAAATTTCACATTTAATACCTCAATCTAATAATAAAAATGAACTAGATCATCTACATTTTGACTATACTCAAAGTGACGAATGTGATATTCAGAAATATCTTATGCCTGATAACGAGCTCGATGATGAAGAGGAAGAAGAGGAAGAAGAGGAAGAGGAAGACGACGATGAAGAAGAAGCAGAAGAAGAAGACGAAAGAAAAGAAGAAGAGGAAGAAGAACATGAAGAAAAACATGAAGAGAAAGAACAAATTTATGAGAACTTTGAAAATTTTAGAGATTTAGAAGAAGCATATGCTATATTAATGGAAGAAAATAATATTTTGGAAGAACTTAATGAATATTTAACTCAACAAACGGATTATCTTAGTGAAGAAACTTCCAAACAACAAATTAAAATTCAACAATTAGAACAAATTAATGAAAAGTCACATAAAACAACACGAAAAAATTCTGATAATGAAAATAATCGTGATTTAAAATTAAGTTCAGAAGATGAAGAAAGATTAATACAATTAGAAAGTGAAATGGTAGCTATGCGAACACAATATAATTCAGAATTAACTTCAAAAAATGAACAAATCTCACAATTAGAAAATCAACTTTTGGAATATGAAAATTATGGAAATGAGATTAAAGAATTAAAATCAAAACTTGAATTTAATGAATTAAGTTTGAAAGCAAAAGATTTATTAATTGAACAATTACAAAAATTACAACAAAAATCACAACAAAAATCACAACAAAAATCACAACAAAAATCACAAGTTAATAATAATAATAATAATAATAATAATAAAAATGACAAGAATAATAAAAATAACAATAATAATAATAATAATAATAATAAAAATAATAATAATTTAACATTAGTCGCTGAATTTGATCAAATGATAGGAAAAATGAAAACAAAACTTGATGAATTAATTGTTGAAAATAAAAAATTAAAATATCAACAAAACCAACAACAACAAATATCCAACGATAATAATAATAATAATAATAATTTTAAGAAGAAAAGGAAGAATAATAATTTTAAGAATGAAGAATTACAGAATAATAATGTTTCGGGATTAAAAGAAACAAAAATTAAAGGAGAAATTATTGAAGGAATTAGTGATTGTGAAAGTGATCACGAGGGCAAGGTATGTAATAACAAAAATTTTGATTATTTTTATATAATAATGTATATAACAATGTAATAAATAATATAATAATAATTGTTTATTTAAATAAAAATAGATAACGAATACTTTACAAAAGGAAGGAAACAAATTGATGTCAAAAGATAATACCGTCACTTCTACTAATAATAATATTAATACTAAGGATTATTCAAAATATCTCTCTAATAAAAAATGCAATATTCCTCTTCCTTCTTCTCACCCCGCAAATGGATCTAATAATAATAATAATAATAATAATAACAATAATAATATAGTTAATATTAAAAATAAATTACAATTATTTAAAGAATCTAACAAATTTTCTGGTGGTAAAAAAGGAGAGAAGAAGGAAGGTAGTTTGTTATTTAAAAATCTGCAAGCTCAAAAAGAAACATATGAACGAGAAATCAGATTTTTAAAAAAGGTTTTTTTTTTTATTATTCTCTTATGCAATCTTTTATTACATTACCTTTTCTTACCATTTTTTATTATTAATTATTATTATCGATAATAATTATTTATTAATAGGAAATAGAAAAATTAAATTTAAATATTAAAGATTTAAACAAAGAATTTTCATCAGCTATATCAAGCAAGAAGACATTAATATTAGAAAAAGCTTCATTGACTAAAGAAAAAGCTGAATTACAACAAAAATTAGATAATTCACAAAAAGTAAGATTTGTTGTTGTTATTATATTATTTTTTTTAAAAATTTTTTTTTTTTGATTCTTATATGTGTTGTGTAAATAGGAAACAGCACGTCATCAAAATAAAAATGTTCAAATAACAGAATTAGAAACTCAATTAAGACAATCACAAAAAGGTTAGTAATTAAAAACATTAATAATTGTTAATATTAAAAAAACAATTGGATATTAATTTAATAATTGATTAATAATTGGTTTGTTAATAGAAAAGTTAGTCTTTTCCGATCGAACATCACAAAAATTAAAAGACATTCAAAATGAACTTCAAATTGAAAAGGAGAAATCATCTAAATTAAATAGAGAAAAAATTGCAGCTTTAAAAGATAAATATGATATACAACGAAGAGTTAACATTCTTACTGAGGTATTCTATTATTCTTATTATTATTAATTTTTATTAATTTTTATTAATTTTTATTAATTTTTATTTGTTCATTCTAATAATTTTTAGTTCAGAGATACTCTAGAAGTTGATATACATGAAGAAAAAGAACATGTTAAGGCTCTTGAAACAGAAATTCAAGATATTACAGATCAATTACAATCAGAACGTCGAGATCATCAATTCAAAAGTGAACAATTATCAAGATACGAAGATGAATTACAAGCAGTACGAGATCAATGTGTTAAATTAAAAGAAGAGATGGATCAATTACAAGTTACTTTAAGTCATGAACGTAATCAATTCAAAATACAATTAAGATCCATCGAAGCGAATAATAAACGTCGTAACATGGTAATTTTCTTATTTTTTTTTATTATATTTTATTTTAAAAAAGAAGATAATAATAATAATAATAAAGTATAATAATAATAATAATAATAATATTATTATTATTATTATTATTATTATTATTATTATTACCATTTTATAGGATACAAAAAATATGCATGAACAAAAAAAATATATTGAAAAATGTGAATTATTGGTTAAAGAGGTCAAATACCTAAAAGCAAAGTGTTATCGGGAATCTGGATTCCGTGCAGACTTGAGTTATCAAAAAAATTTTTTAATGTTGCTTTTTGGTGATGTTGAAACATGGTTAGTTTTCTGTTTTTTTTTTTTTTAAAAAAAAAAAAAAATTTCATTTTCTCTTTTTCTTTTTACTTTCACTTTCTACTCTATTTTTTCTATTTCGTCAAACAATATGAAAGAAATTTGTTATATAAAAATAAAATTATTTTATTTATTTATGTTTAGCAAACAAGCAATATTGAATTTAATATCCGATATACAAGGTTCTTGTTGCTCAAATCCTTTGTTAATTAAATTTCGTGGAGCAGTAAGAGCGATAATCGCGATACAGAGAATGAGGTATTTAGGATGATAATGATGTCTGATCTTGGTCTGTGATGTTAAGAGATTATTTATATTTATTTTCAATTATTATTATTATTGTAGAATCTTTCGAAATTCATGGATTAAAAGCAAGCAATTGAGACGAGAAATTCAACAACATCGACATTAAATTATTAAAAAATTAAATTAGATTAGATTAGATTTCTTTTTATTGTAATGTAATAAAAATTATATTAGTTAGATGTTTTTTTTATATATATAGCATTAATGTATACTACAATTATTATATCATAAATATTTACTATTATAAATGTTATTATTATAATTATATAGATTATTAAAAGATTATTAAAGATTATTATAAAGATTATTATAAATATTATTATTAATTGGCAAAATATAATGTACATAAAATAATACAAATTATACAAATAAATTAAATTAAATTAAATTAAATTAAATAAATAAAAAATTATAATAATAGCATTTTTAACGAATTAATCCATCCAACTTTAATCCGAATTTCATTACTTTCTTTTTATTCTTGGGTGGAGTATTAAATAATTTCCAGAATCTTAAAGTATTATCGTCACCACCTGCCCCAGTAACAATATCTTCCCCATTAGGAGATAAAGCGAAATAAAGTACACGAAATGTGTGTCCTTTTAATGTGACAAATTTTTCCATTGAAGGATATTTCCATACAACTATATCGTTTTTCCACCATCCGTGAGTAGAAACGATTTCATTTGCATTTGGTGACCATTGTAAGTTGCAAACCTTTGAAAGTTGTCATAAATATTATATATATATATATATATATATATATTATTTTCGATATAATAAATGGCATAAGAGTATATAAAAAAAGTAGATATATAATATATATATATATAAGAAATATACCTGAGATTTTACATTATGACTTGATAAACATCTTGCGTCTAAAGTATTCCAGAAGCGAATTTGACGATCTAAATGACCACCTCCACTAACTAATAAATTTCGTGTATGAGGGCTCCAAGAAAGAGCACGAACGGCAGCTTTATGCCCATCAAGTTTATGAAATGGTTCATATTTATTTTCTTCCCATATAAAGAGTTCATTGGCATTTCCTCCACTTGCCAATTGATCCCCTTCGTAATTCCATTTCAATCCGCATATCTAATAATAATAATAATAAAATTTTTTATATATTTATCACATTTATTACATTCATCATATTTGTTTGTTATATTTACTACATTTATTTTTACATTTATTTTTACGTTTATTATGTTTAATTATATCATCTGTCATATATTTTCTTTTAGAATATAATATTTACTTCGGATTTGTGTCCCGTTAAAATACGAGTAATGTCACGAGGAATTCTTGGATCTCTATGAAAAATATAACGGTCTGCGCTACCAGTTGATATAAGATTATCTTTCCATGCAATAGTTCCTATAAAATAAAGATGATTTTTATTGGTTTGTTTATATTAAAAATAAATAATAATAATAATAATAATTTATTTACCAACTCGCGCTTTATGACACTCCATGTCACGAATCTTTTCAAATTTTTGAACATCCCAAATTTGCACATTACCTTCTGCTGTACCGATAGCAAGTTGAGTTCCCTTTAAATAATGATAAAATTATTAAAATTACAATTTCCAATTTCCGTACATTTAAAAATTACATAATATTAATAATACCTGAGAAAGCCATTTGACAGACGTAACTGAATTTAATGAACCCAAATCACATAATTTCGTCATCTGATATTTTGATGACACATAATATAAAGATATGTAAAGATATATAAAGATATGTAAAGAACGTAATATAAAGATATATAAAGATATGTAAAGAACTTAATATAAAGATATGTAAAGATATGTAAAGAACGTAACATAATAATAATCAAACCTTGGATGTTCCAGTGTTCCATAAATAAATACAATTTTCAAGACCTAAGCTTAAAAAATTGGAATGAGACCAATCAACAATATTTAAATAAAAGTCATCCTAAAAAAAATAATAAAAAAATAAATAAAAAATAAATAAATAATGATTATAATATTACAAATGAAATAATAAATAAGATACATATATTAAATATACCTTGAGAATCAATTCATTACAGAATGCTAACATTTGATATGGTGTCGGATTAATGATTCTCTCTGGTTTACATGGCATCATCATTAAATCCTTGACTTCATGTGAAAAAGGACTAGTTGAATATTCATCTCTGAAAGGAGTATCGAAAACACGAATACGACGTTTTGGCAATGAAGTTTTTTCGAATTTAAAAATACTTTTTGTTGTGGTTGATCTAAAATCAATACATTTAACTAATTCATCATCAGATTTGTGAAGAGGAAACATAGTTCTTTGAATTATGGTTTTATGAATTAATTCTTCTCCTATAATATCAATAATAATAATAAGTCGTCACGTCGCAAGTTATCACAAGTTGTAATAAGTTATCACAAATTGATTTTTTTTTTTTTAAAAAAAAAAAAATAATAATAATAATAATAATAAATTAAAAATAGGAATAATAAGAATAAATGAAATAATTAATTAGTTACATTACTTTTTTCTTTGCTCATCACTGCCGAATCTTTTCTCTTTCGTTTGGAAAGATTCGTTGTGACAGGTGATGATATTAAATGCCTTTGAAATTCGGATACCATATTAGACCTATTTGGAATAAATCTTATTACGATAATAAATAATAAATTATAAATAATTATATCCATGTGTGAAGCTAAAAAATTTATAAATTTATATGTATAAAGTTCACCTATCACTATATGAATGAATCGTTCTATTCTCATTTGCAAGATTATTTTCATTTGTAGTAAAGATGTTAGAAGTGAATAAAGAATTATAATCTCCTAAAAATGATGAGGAAGGAGAACTACTCTCGGAATTAGAATAACTGGAATTTTCAAGAATACTATTATTATCAATTCTATTATCAATGCAATCTACTGTTGTTATGGGTTTATTTTCAAGAAAAGATATATTTAACATATTTGAAATATTTGAAATATTTGACATATTTGGCATATTTGACATATTCGACATGTTTGAAATGTTTTTCGTTTTATGTGAATATTTTTGATAGATAGAAAGAAAGGAAGGTTTAAAAAAAAAAGGAATGTTGATTTATATTGAATAGAGAAGAAACTATATATGACAAAAAAGTAATTCACGCATGGTGTCATTATAGTTTATTATTAAAGATACTTTTTTTTTCACATTCATTACATTCCTCGTATTTCGAAATATCTTTTCATAAGTTAACTTTATCATCGAGTTTATTTTCTGACGTGTCAAGTTTCTTCCGTTTCATCATATTCATTTATAAGTATCACTATCAATTTAAGAGTATCACTTATTATTTCAAAAGTATCATTATTATTATTTTTATACTCAAAAAAAGTATACATTAAAGTATTATAATAAAGTATACAGAATACAGGAAACTTTTTTATATTCATTATACACAATATTTTCAAAGTGTGAAAAGTCTATGATTAAAGTTCATATTTTAAGCCATAAATTCTGCAAAAATTTCAAACTTTACTTTCCATTTTCTTTCTTCCGCATGCTCATCACACTCATCGTTCTGAAATTTTATTTTATTTTTAGATTTTCTTTCTTCATAGCCCTTCTTAAAATAGTAATGCGATCGTAAATCATTTAAAAAAAAAAAATACATCTTAAAATTTTTTATCGAGGTAAAATTTATAATAAATTATCCTTTTTCTCACACTATCCTTTGTTTTTAAAAATAAAAATTATATTAATAAAAAAAAATGACATTAATGAATAATTTCTCTAAAGCTAATAAAGTATTTAGAAAAAATGATAAAATTTTTAATCCAATTATTCATCAACAATATAAAAGAACCATTTATTCACATCCTCGTTTTACTTCTTTTTTATCTCCTCTTTCTAAAAATTCATTTTCATGTTCCTTTTTGATTATCAGGAATTCATTATTAAATAATTTCATTATTAAATCCGGTATCGTTGAATTAAATCGAGGATATGTTGAATTAACAACTAATAATAATAATAATAAAATAGGGGAACAACCACCAATTAACACCATCACTACCAAAAAAGTCAAGGAAGCTAAAGAAGTGAAAACTAGTACCAAAAAAGAACCGATAATTCTGAATCAAAAGGCATATGCAATTTTTCAAGAAGGTTTGAAATATTACTCCAATAATTATAAACCAAATACTAATATTGAATTAGTGAAAGGTTTGTATTTCTTATCTTTTAATAATAAATACCTTTTATTAAAATTTCAAATGAATAAATAATTTAATAAATAAATAAATAAATCAATAAATATTTATTCATTTCTTTACTTTAAAATGTTATGTTTAGATTTTCCTGCATGGCTTGATGGACTTGGACTTAAAGTTTTAACTCCAAAATTCCAAGATAAAAATTGGGAAACAATTATTGAAACAAATATGGATGGCTTAAAAGAATTTGATATTACTTGTAGAGAAATTAGAAAAAGATTAGCTATACACTTTGATATAGTTAAAAGAGCTCTTGTAAGTATTAAAAAATATATATAATAAAGGTTTATGCTTTTTAATAAATAAAAATTATTTTAAATATATAATTAAAAATAGGCGATATCGAGAGGAGAACAAGTACCTCCTCTTGAAAAAAAGGATCCTAAACTTATTTCACAAGCAAAAAAGGCATTCAAGGAAAATTCAGAAGGACCTGAAGAAATCGATTATGAAATGATGAATGGTATTATAATATTTTTTCTACTTTTATATTTCATTTCATTCATTTTTATTAAATTTTATTAAATTTCACCCAACATAATTTTCATAGATAATTCCTATTTTCTTCATTCAATTACCAATGGGTTAGGAAGATTTGCTCCATTATTTGAAGACAAAAATTGGAAAGAAATTATAAATATGAAAACTGGAGATTTAAAAAGGATAAGTATTACAGATGGACTTGTAATAGCCAAGATGATGAAAGGATTTAAATATCATTACTTTCGTGCCAAAGAAAATAATATTATATAATAAATCCAAACTTTTAGTTTTTTATCTTTTAAAATATTTAGAGTAAATCGGAATAATTATTTTTTTTTTTTATAATAATAATTTTTATAAGGTTCTGATAAATAAACACAAAAACTTCCAAAATCTCAACAATGAAAATATTGTGATAAAAACAAAATAAAATAATAATAATAAACAATAAATTATTTAAATTACATACAATATTTTTTTTTTCTTTTTTATATAAATGATATAATTTATAAAACTTTTTTTTTTTATTGCCAATTACTTTTAACTATATAATTAGCGAAAATATTCACTTAAAAAATTAGTGAAAAAAATAATAAAATATGTCTAATTATCAAAATGAGACAAATATGAATTTGTATATTTTGTATATTTTGTATCTTAAATAGAGAAAAAAAAAATGTGAAAATGAATTATGAATTAAAAATTAAAAATTTGTCGAGAAAAATATTATTGATATTATTGATAAACATTATTTAATATTAGTATCATTATTTGATCATTAAACATTATAGAAAATATTATGTATTGTTCTTTATAATTATTTCCCTAAAAATTGTTTAAATATTAAGTAAAAAGATTTAAATCCCAATTATATTATACATATTATTATATTAATAAATATTATAAAGTTTATTATTTCCATCCCAAATATCTAATTATATGTTTGGCGTGGCGTTTGAGGATGAGGCTGATGAAATCTATTTTATCGTGGTGATGGTGGTGATGGTGGTTGGAGGAGTGCTGTTTTTAGGACTTAGATACAATAATAGTTGTTTTAACATCTGTTTCTGTCAAATGAACCGGTGTTTTGAATCCATTAATATTAGTAAAGACGGTTGAATCAATGTCAACGAGTATACTTGATTTTCCTATAATTGGAGTTAAATCGCCAGTGAATGTGATTGGGATACCTCCGGCATGAATTGTTGAAAGAACTCCCACTTTTGTTGGGACGAGTGCCTGCGGTACATCAATTTTACCAAGTTCTTTGCCTTGAAAACTTGCCGTTGCCTCCATTCCAGTGATTTCATATCCAATATTAAGGGAATTAATAATGGTTATATTAGCAAGACCTGATTTGGTTTTTAATACATCTAAACCAACTGTAACTTCAACTGAATCTAGCACTCGTGGTGCATCAATTTGAAGAAAAGTTTTTAATGAAAGAGACTCGAATGCAGATTTCAAAGATGTTATTGGAGTAGAATCACTGTTTCCTAAGACAATAAGATCTGATTTTTTAGCTGTCAAGAAATTACCGAGGAGATCAGAACCAGCTTTAATAGCCTCAGGAGTTTTTGGAGCAAATAAGAAATTTGCATCATAATTTTTTTTTCCAGGTTCAATTACAATATCCTTTATAGTAGTTGTGCCCATAGATTGTCCTTTAAAATGAATGTCAAAATTTACATCACCAGCTCCCACTGTAATTTTTGATGGATTAGTCATTGTTACTTGCAGAAAAATTAATACCCCTTTAGGATCGGCACTAATAATAAGTGGTGAACCAAGGATGACTGGTGCACTCTGTAATCCTTGTAAACCTATAAAATAAATAATTATGTTAACATATTATAAATGTTTATTAATATATATTTATCTACTGTACCTTTAAGACTTGTTTGTACATCTATGGGAATACCGTTCAGGGGGATTAAGCCAATTGGTGTTTTAGCTAATGCATTGGAGGTTCCGGTAATTCCAAATTTCGTTGAAACGGCGAAGGTCAAATCTTTGACAAAGGATTCAAAGGCATCATGTGCATCGTCAAATACTTGAAGTGGGATTTTCTTGTATGAAGTAATAATTGTTGTTTTGCCTTCCATTTTTGCAGGACCTTTGGGAATTGGAAGTTTTGCTATATTTTTGTTTTCATACGTAAGGGTAATATCTTCAGACAACTCTTGTATAGTCAATGTGAAACCGAAAGGAATTTTCATTTCAGCTTCAATTTCGTTTGATGAAGAAATGGGGTTGAATGCAGTATCTAGGGTAAAATTCATGCTCATATCATCGATGGTGACGGATGGTATAATTTTTTCAAGTTTTATTGGTGGAAGAATAGAGTCAATTGACAATTTCGAGGCTGCGGAAACTAACCAACTAATTGCAGGATTAAGACCAACAACTTTGGTGGTAACAGGGACAGGTTTTTCAGCGAGTACTTCAGCAAATATTTTAGTCATAACTTTTAATCCTTCACCAGTTTGAGGAATGAGACGACCAGTTAACTTTATTTCGGTAGGACCTGCAGGAACGACTGTGAGATCTGAAGAAGAAACTTCACCGATCTTTACATTGTCAGAAAGAACGTCAAATGTGATAGTACCAAGTTCAACACCAATAGAACCAGGATTTGTAAGAGTTGAGTCAATTACTGTAGAAATACCACCATCAGGTGCATCTCCGGGTAAAGTATAATTATTGATCTTGATATCATTTTTGAACCCATTTGAACCTTTCACTTCAACAACTTTTTGCAATGTAATTCCAGGAACATCAATTTTCAAAGCTGAAACAGTAAGATTATCGGCAGAGATAGTCCATAAACCAGAATTAGATAATAATACATTTGTTGTAAAAGTAGTCAAAGCACCTTTGTTTAGAATCTTAAAGGTTGACTGGACATTACTTAGAACAGCTTTATTATCTTGAGCTGTAATAGGTGGTAATGACATAGTACCAAGAACAGTCTTATCAGATAATAAGTTTGCACCATTGGGGAAAGAAATTGTAGCAGGCAATGGACCCGTATTGGAAATTTGACCTGTGATCACGGCAACAAAAGAGTCTTCAGTTGGTTTTTGAATTAAAATTTTGTCGAAACTCATTATTGAAGCATCAACAAGAGTTTGGACAATCGGTCTGGAAAGAATTGGAATTAATTTGAGAATTGATAAATCGGTATGAGTTGTAACTATCTGAGAATAAGCAAACGGCATCTCATATTCCCCAACTCTAATGGTGGATAAGAGAGAAACATTTGCAACAATATTTGCAAGGGCAGTTTCTACGAATACATTCATGTCAAAGTTCTTAAGTTTTCCTGGGTCAATTTCAGTAACTGAAGGTACACCAGGAACGTTAACCTTTCCAATAGTAATTAATGCATCAAGAACAGTGGTATCCAAATTTGCTAACTGAGCTTGTGTACGTAAAAGACCGAACATCGTAGGTGGATCAAGGTTCAATGAAAAAGGTAAATCTGATACTGTAACATTTCCACTTCCAGGTAGGATTATTGGGTTTTCGCTTCTATCTTGTGAAATGCTACCAAGATTGTATCCATGGGCGGTAATGATTGAGTTAACACTTAAAATGGTAATGGGAGCAATGAATGGATTTGCCAATGCTACAACACTCTGTGCAGTTACATTGGTAAGTGTGGCACCTGTGATTTCTACTGAAGCGTTGGAGATCATTGGGAAGGAAGATCCAGGAAGAGAAGCTGGTATGTTAAGACTAGACATAGCAAGTTTTAAACTTTCAACGTCGGTAGAACCATCATAACCTTTTTGGTATACAATTGTGGTTTGATTTAACATAAATCTTTTTAAAATTTCTGCTGCGTTGGCATTGTGTACTGGATCTAAGGTGGAATAGAATAATAAATCATTTCCCCCCGGGACAAGGGATAGGGATGTATTGGCTATCCCAACGATATCATTATTGTATATAATTTGGAAACTGACATTTCCCACCGAAAGAGAAACGTTGGCAGGATTTGTAAGGTTTACAGCAATTTGTACTATCAAATAATCTTTGGTACCACCAACAAGCGAAATATTCTTTACTTCTGGTGGAACGGATTGAAATCCAGATAATCCTTCTAAAGTTGAGTTTACTGTAAATGGAAGTCTTTTTATGGTCAAATTTCCAATACAGGTTTCGGTAACTACATCGACATGACCTGTAACATTTATTGTCAATTGAGATGATAAGGTCAATTCCTTCAAAAATTCTTGAGTTAAATCAGGTGAAGTAAAATTAAGTATTGTCGGTGGAATATTAAGAGACAAGCTTTTTTTGCCATCATCATTTACAGGGAATAAATCAGTCACCTCAGTTGCAATTGAATAATTTTTAAAGTAAAGGGATATGTTTTGAGAAGATTCCAGCATAGTCATTTTTATATCGTAAGGTAATTGGTATTGGACTTGCGAGTTATTTGAAGTCATTAATGGGGTAAAAGAAGTTTCTTTAGTAAAATTTAGGGCGAGATTACCAAAATCTAATCCGGTAATAAGTTGTGGTGGACCATTAGGTAAATCTCCCATTAAAGCAGTTAATTGTAATCCTACAACAGAAGAAGAAATCCAGTCTACACTATTCACATGATCCGGAAGAGAATATAATACAGTAGATGTTGTATTTATTGGAGTATTTGTAAGGATTGAACTCATCAAAGTTCCAATGTTTTTTACGTCCTCAAGGGTTTGTGGAGCTGATACATTTCCAAACATTTTTAAATATATATCACCAGGTACCATATCGAAATTTGCAACTGTCAAATTTGAAACTAAGGTTCCATTGTAAGAAGCAGCAACACCAACTGTACCCATAGGCATTGAAAATACTGATGTATTGTTTAATAATACAGTTATATTAAGTGCAAGCGTATTATTGTCAGGTTGTGTTACAAAGAATTCCGTTGCTTTTGGGGTTCCAAAATAATTGACACCGTTTAATATAACTGTTTTATCTAAAGTTAATCCACCTTTTGAAATACCCATAGCTTTAACAGTAACAGATCCTTTAAATGACATTTTTATTGTACTTTGAGTTATCAAAGCTTTCGAGAATTGAACAAGATTATCGTTTTCGGTGATTAGGAATTCTTTATCTTGAAGATTGATTTGGGCTTGTCCTCCTTTCACATTAATTGTGTCAAAATTTACAGTTCCCAATACTTTATCTTCCCAAAACATATTCACTGGTGTTTTAAATTTTATTGTGGAACTAAATGGTCCACCGTTTGTAACCTTTCCAGTGGAACTTAATATGAATGAAGTATTGCCAGGACTTGTGATGTTAACACTGGTGAGTTCAAGGTTTGAATTATTTATTGTTTTTTGGGCAATTGCTGGGAAAATGACGAAGAAAAATAAGGGAAGTAGAATTGCTGCGAGCACTACACTAATAGCTAGACAAATTCCCCAAAAGCGCTTTTTACGATAAAAATTTATACTATTGCCTTGAGCATCAGCTGATCTGTCTTTGGTTGAGTATGAATCCACGGTTTGTGTTTCCTCTATCATACTGCTATCAACAACGTCAGTACTATAGGTAATAACTGAGTCTCTCATCATCGAATCACGTGGAATACTCTCCTCGAGGGGAGTAAGTGGTTCTTCCGTTTCAGTCATTTAATATTATTATTATATATGTAAAGTTTTTTATTTTTTTTTTTATTTTTTAACTTAGTTCTGTAAAATACAAAACGATGTCTAATAGCAGTAATAAAATCGAACACCGACACCTTGATTACCGCGAAGAAATGTATAAAAGCGAAACCTTTCGCGACGTGATAAGATTAAACTTTTAAAGAAAGTGAGAGCATAAAAATATTCAAGCTAGTGTGGGAATTCTGGATTGATATAGTCTTTGAAGAATAACGGATCAACGTATTTGCTGAACATCTTTAGGTATTTATAATAAAACTAGAGACATCAAGATATCCGTCAATATGATATATTAATTAAACTCTGGGAGATCCAACGTGAAGTGATTAACTTCATTTTCAATAACTTATACATTAAAGGTTATTGAATATTTCAGCATAAAAAATTATCAATTAAAAACTCATTTAAAATGAATAATTCAGCGGATTTACATGGATTAAAAAAATAAAAATTGAATTTCATTATCAACAGTTTAATGAAATTTTACACATACTAATCTATTAAAGAGTTTTCATTATTTAAATAGGAAATTAAAAAATTTCTATTTTAATGATATATAAAGTGAATTATATATTATAGTGTAAAAAATATGAACCACATGCAATTTAATTCACCGTTTCATCGAAATATAATTTAGCAAATTAGGTTAGATCATCGATTTTCCATTTTGTCTTGTGAATTCGTCATTATATAAAAAGCAAGCATTACTATATAAAAAAAACTTCAAAATTGTTTTTTTGCTTAATTAATCTCAAAATAATTTCCAGGATAGAATTCTACAATTTTTATTTGATTCCCCTTGATTAATCTAAATAACTCTTAACAGAAAATGAAATGTCATGTACTAGACTTCTTAAAGCCAAAATCTCCTTTAATTAAAAATAGAATAAATTTTTCTTTTTAGGAATTTCCGTAAATCATTTTCCACCGAAAAAATACTACGGATGACACAAAGTTCTGGCGAAAGTTGGTAAACTTACACCTTTTAACGGTTTCATTTTTACTATATATTCTCCTGCTCCAGCGGTTCTCACTGAATGTGAGTTATATTAATAAAACAAAAAAAAAAATTTATTTGTATAGAATGAAAGCTATCTGATGGGTTCAATGGAATCATTCGACTTTATTCACTGGAATATTATTTTGAATAATCATGGATTTTTTGAAAATCAATGAACAATGCGCGTGCTGACAAAAGCTTCTTTACTGTATTAGAGACATTATATTTCATATCCAAAAATTATCTTTCTCATGAAGATAGAATTATCCAAGGAGTCAATGCTAGCGACTGCCTATTTAATTTTATTGCTATTATTTAATTTATTATTTATTCAGAATATTATTATAATTTATTAAATTTGCTTGAGAAACAATAAAACACTAATTAAATATTTATATATAGTATTTTATTTGTGTGGTTGGATTCTTGTGAGGAATATTTTCCCAATAAATTAAAGTCCACCACCAAACTGGTTTTGAATTTCATCTTTATTTTTATTAAAATTGTCAGGCTTACTCTGATTTCTTTGAAGATGAAATAAAAGTCTGCAAATGAAAGCAGAAACCCTCTCTTATTACGTTATTAAGAAAAATTCTTATTCATTTTCGATACTAAAAAAAAAAAAAATTAGTAACATATAAATCATAAAATCTTATCCTCCTGATTTAGTAATTATTTGTCTTAGATTCGCCAGAATAAAAAGTATTTATTATATTTCGAAAAGAAAACTTGCGAAATTGTTTTTTTCTAGTTGCTTGAGTTGATTTTAAATTAATTAATCTCATAATGTAATCTCTAGAATAGAATTCTGCAAGTTTTATTTGATTCCCTTGGTGCATTTATTTAACTTATCAGAAAATGAATGAATCATCATGTACTAAGCTTCTTAAAGTCAAGGTCTCCTTTAAAAAATAATTAATAGTAGAATAAAATTTTTTATTAAGAATTTCCAAAATAATTTTTTATTTATATACTAGTTTTTTTTTGTAAATCAATAATAATGAATATTGAATATGACTCAGACGAACATTATCATATTTATAATGAATATGACTCAGACGAACATTATCATATTTATAATATAATTTTTTAAAACCATTTGAAATCTCGTAAAATCCGAAAAATAAAATTTAGAGAAGTTCAAACAAAGAAGAAAAACTATACAATAATGTTTTATATAAAATCAAAAACTATTGTCTTCATAATTCTGATAATATTTTTTTTATGTCATCTTATAAATGCGAACAATTTGTTTGAAAAAAGAGGTATATTTAAGAAGATTGGACGTTGAACGTTCGTTTATTTATAACATTTATTCACAACAGTTATTCTTTTCAGCATCTCCATCATCGCCTCAACCATCTTCATCTCAACCTTCAGGGAATCCAACTCCATTAAATAAAAGTTCAACTCCCACATCTTCGAAACCCAGTACTACAAAAACAAATGATAATGCACCAGCAGTTAGTTTGTCAATAATTAGCCCAACTCCAGATAAATTTCAATTTCACAAAAAAGGATTTAATATTACCTTCGCTTGGAAATTTGTTGGCAATTTTTCTACTCCACCAAAAAGCTTGAATATCTACGCAATACCAAATGTTTACCATGGTACTAACAAAAATTTTACCATAGCTACAAACTTAACAGGTAGTACTACTGAATATGAATGGGACACCTCAAAACAAACCAATCCAGAATTACCTGATGGTCCTTACAATTTATGGATTTTGGATGAACGCGGTATTGATTATTATAACAATAATGGTAAACTTGCACCTTTTAATGGTTTCATTTTTACTATGTATGCTCCTTCTCCAGCGATTCCTACTGAATGTAAGTTCACATCAAATACGTTAATACTTTAACATAAATTATTTTTTATTTTTTGCATCTAATATTACATATTCTTTTTTTTTTAAACAAAAAAAAAAGCATTTGTTTGTATAGACTGCCAAGGGAAAAGAATTCCAACTTCAGCCTATCTTATGGGTTCAATGGAATCATTCGCGAATGTTCTTATACCCATGACTTCATTAATTACATTGATAACATTTCTCACTGGAATATTCTTTTTAAATAATCACGGATTTTTTGAAAATTAATAATAATGCACGCTTTAACACTCATTATGATATCAAAAACTTTTTACTATACATCATATTTAGAATATTTTAGAGACATTATAATTTTCATAATAATAATAATAATAATAATATAATTCTATCTAAAAGTATCCTCCTCGTGAAGATAGAAAGATAATTCTATTGCTATTATTTAATTTATCTAATCTTTGGGAGATATTAAGTATTTATTCAGAATATTATATAAAATAGTTGATATTAGATTCTTGTGTCACATAAACGATTTGAATTCGATTTTGCCTAAACCAGAATTATTTTGTGGTTGTTGTACAAGTGTAATTGGTAATTGTTAAGAATAAAAAGTGATACTGAACATAACATATTTACATTTACATATTTCTAATTTAACATGATTTCAAATTTGCCGAATGAAATAATTTTAAAAATATTTAAAGAGATTCGTTATGAAACAAAGTAAATAGATTTTATTATACCAATATTAAAATTTTAATAATATTCTAATAATTCGAATTTATTGAATATTTGTTTCATTTAGTAGCTTTAGATATTTATGGAAAATTAGAACAACTTGTAAACGTTGGCATGAACTTATTCCAGTTGCAGTAAAAGATTTAGTTTTTGAGAGATTTAATTCAGATGTAAATATTGAAGTAAGAAATTGAAATTTTTAATTATTTTTAATATTTGTTTATTATTGTAAATATGAATTTCATTATTTTTTATTTTATTTTTTTTTTTTTTGAAATTTCAATAGGTTAGATTGGAATTTTCACAAAAATCCATATACTTTCTATCAAAATTAGAAAATTTTTCGGATAAATGTATATTTATTCTTCAACGATCCGAAAAACCTTTACCCGCTTCAGAACAAGATTTAACGAATAATTCTCTACATGCCGTAACTAATACTTCATTAGATATTTCAGATACTAATACTTCAAATATTATTTATCTTAATAACGGTAGTCCAACTACAAATTCAAACATTTTTATGGATAGTACATTATTAGAGAATAATACAATCCCGGTAGCAAGATATGGAGAAACTTGTTGTGCCGTTCATATAGAAATGTGTGCAGAAATAAATGGTAGTTTACCTTATGGATGGCGTACAAAAGGATATTTTCCAACAATATTATTACCAAATGAAAATTTTAGATTTATCAAAGAAACAAAATTCAGTATGGGCGTAGTTATACAATATAGATTATTTCCATGTTTTAATGAATTAGTGGAAGATGTATTTCAATTACCAAGATTAGATCATATTAATCATAATAGAAATGTTTGGGCAGAGAGCAATGATGACAATTTTAGTAATAATAGAAATGATAATAATAATAATAATAATAACAATAATAATAATAATAATAATAACAATAATAGTAATAATAATAATAATAATAATAATAACAGTAATAATAATAATAATAATAATAATAATAATAATAATAATAATAATAACGAATTAGATTCTACTTATCATAAATGTTTTTCAACTTGTAACGGAATTGAAATCATTAATTTAGTTATACCTAAAGAGTCTTTACTAGATTTAATAGATTCTTTGGATTATCTTCCTGGTTTGTATTTCATTTTATTCTTACCTTTTGTTATTTTATTTTTGTGTTTTTTATTGTATTTTCATGTAGACATGAAACTAGATATATATATATATATTTATAAAAAAAATAGTTTATTTTTTATATTTAGGATAATTTCTAAATTAATTTTTTATTTGATATTTATATTTCACAGGAAATGATTCTAAATTTGGTACAGGAACAAGATCAAAGAGTGACTTTTTCTTTAAGTTTAGAAGATTCGAAGATAAATGTGGGTTTCCTTATACTCGTAGAGTTATAATTCAATGAATATATATGTATATAATATTTCTACATTTTGAAATATCGTGAAAAAAAATGTATTTCTGGGACTTTAGTATTAGTTTTAAAAGACTTAGTCTCAAAATTATGTAAATAGATTTTTAAGAAATTTTGTTGATTATTATTATTTTTTTTTGTCTATTCTTTTAATAAATTTTTTTTTTTTATAAAAATTATTATTCTTGAGATCGTGAATTCATTCTTCGAGGCGAGGCCAATACTCTTAGTTAATTAAATAAATATAGATTTAATAAATATTATTTTATTGGATCTATTTTCCGGACTAGACTTTCTCTAAAAACAAAAAAAGCTACGAATTTCATATATTTATAGATCATGAGTGTATAATTTATTGTTTCAATGGTAAATTTGGATGATGCGAATCACCAATTTAAAGAAATAAAGATTTATAAATAATATTATTGTTGTTGTCATTATTTTCTAACGTTACCATTATTGTTATCACTAGTTAAAAATTTTATGTTACAGCTTTATTTATTTAGTGTACACAAATATACATTATTATTTTATCATTATTGATACCTTTTTTTTTTAAAAAAAAAACAATAAAAAAAAAATAAGGAAGGATATAAAAAAAAAAAATACAATATACAAATTTATATTAACTTACTTTAAATATGTATATGAGACAAAATATCTGGCTTATCGGAAGGAATTTTATCACTCCAATATTTACCTAGTACAGGAGTTTTTAATAAAAAATCTCTGCGAAACTTTGGAACTGGTTCCAAGAGATCGCAAAAATAAATAAATGAAGCAATTGTAATACAAGCAACAGATGGTGTCCTACATGATAAATATAATTAAATTTAAATAATTAAATTTAAATAAATCGAATTTATGTTTTGGAATTTTTTTTTTTTTTCGTTATACCATCTTTTCATTTTTTCCGGAGTAACTCCAAGGATTCGAGGTTGAAATTTTGCAATAATCATTCTTCCTTTATAATGAAATAGATTATTATTGTACTTTTTTTTTTGTCAAAAGAAATATTATTTTCAATAATTCATGAAATAAAAATTTTCTTTTTCTTGGAATTTATGATGTCATTATTTTATAATCTTATAAAAATTACTCAAAATTACGTCACGTCCAATAATTTAAGCTGGCAGATTTTCCACGAAAGGCAATAGAACGAGTTTAAGTTATAAACTTATTGTTCACTTTTTCAATACATATTTGTAGTATTGTACGATAATTCAGAATTTAATCACCTCTCAATAGAAGGACAAAATGGAACATAGATCCTGGTGTAATCTCGTATTTACTAGCAACTACTAGCAACTACTAGCAACTTTATTGTCTTCTAACAGTTTTCCAACCTTTGTTTGATCTTCCCGGAATTCCTTCTTTTTTTTGATGGATTTGTTCTTTGATATTTAAAACTTTATCTTCAAACCATTAATTGTGATTGTGAGATCGATGTTAACGATTTTAAATGAACCTTTCATCACCACCACCACCACGGAGGCGAGGAATCGCATAAATAATGAATTCGTACTTAATGTTATAGTCGGTAAGAAGAAATTCGTCATTCAAATATTTATCAAGACGAAAGTTGATATTATAAATTTAAGCTAAGATGACTACTTCATGCATTTTTAAGTCACACTAAAATAAATCATACATTTTTCTATACATTTTTCTATAATTTGTTGAATTTTTCCGACTGCTTCATTTTCGTTCGCGTCAAGGGTAACAATTTTTATTCTCACAAGAAATGTTAACGAAAATTTGCATTTTTTTTATTCGTTAATTCAAGAGCATGATAAATAATTTGTTATTCAAGAGCATGATAAATAATTTGTTATTTATAATTTCCTTCATATGTAAACCATTTTTAATGCAATACATGGAATGAGAATAAAAATTGAGAATACAAGAAATACTCTGATTAAAAGAATAATTCATACAATTCATAAAATATATAAAATATCAAAATATTGATCTTTAACAAATACTTTCGTAATAAAGATCACCTGTTAGTGTCCGTAGCACAAATAGTATTTATGGTATTTGACTGCTCAATTCTGAATTCCCACATTACTTCAATTTTTAAATTTTTATAATAAGTCAAATCCAAAAAAATGTTGGTAAAAGACCCTAAATCCTTTAAAGAAGAGAACTTGAAACAAATATTACCTGTCGAAGTTCAGCGAGAACCATTAGAAGAAGAATTAGAGGAAATTAAAGAATTTCATTTTCATGTTTATTTCTTTCAGGTACAGAAAGTCATTAATTTTCACTAAATAGGAATAATATTTTTATTTTGTTCGTTATTTATTTATAATTCATTAATTAATAATAATAATAAAATTTATTAAAAGTTAGAGTCGTTATTAATTTAAAATTATCGCTTGTATTATTAAATAACAATAATAATAATAATTAAAAAAATGATGATAATAATTAAACCAATAGAAAAATCAAAAACAACAAGAATCAGCATTAAAATTAAGAGAAAAGATTATCGAGTTAACTGAAAAAGGATTCTTCCATCCAGTACCCTTTCAGAATGTTAATTATACTCCAGTTGGACCTCATAGTATTGTATGTATTGTTATTTCATTTAATTATTAATTAATTATTGTTAATTATTATTAATTATTAATTATTAATTATTTTATTAATTGTATATTGTATATTTTATTTTTTTTTTTTTTTAAAAAAAAAAGGGATCATATGAAGTATGGTGTCCTAAAGAACACTTTTCACGAGTGTACTCTTGGTTCATATATCATCGTGGCATACACTCAGTACTCATCCATCCTTTGACCAAAGAACAATTATTGGATCATACTGATCGTGCGGCATGGATGGGTACTCCAGTACCATTAGATGTTAAAAAGTTGACACCAGTTTTACAAAAGACACCTGCGCAATATCCAGAATTAAAGTTAGGGTACAGTGCACCTCCGGAAGATAATCGAAGATAAAAATTTTTACTTTATTAATTGTATGATGTATTTTATTATTATTATTATTATTCAAAATTTTAAATTATTCAAAAATAAATTATTCAAAGAAATTTACAAATAAAAAAGAGTATTATTTCAAGATGAGAATTATTTTTAACCTTCATGTGAAGTTGACAGAAAGTCATCTTTAATTATATATCTGCATCATTAATATTCCAGGTGATTAGAATATTAATGAGAAAAATAATTAGTAAAATGGTAAATAAAATAAATAAATAATAATAATAATGATGATGATGAACTGGTCTCCACTTTATTAATTAATTTTTTTTAAAAAAAATATTGAATATTGCCTAAAAAATAAAACAACGTTTATTAATGGTATCATTTTTAAAAAGTTTGAAAGGGAAGCAATCTACATATGCCATGGAATAGAGATATGTAAAATTTTTAGACAGTTCTCAAAGGATCACAGATCACAGTTTCGAAAAATAAATAAACGCTTTGGAAAAATAGCGAAACAACTAACAAACAACTGATATAAAAAAAAAAGTTAGTAAACGAAACAAAATGGATAATAACGAATAAGTAACATAGAAACAATAAAGCCAGTAATTTTAGTTCGCGACTCTAAAAAAAAAAAAGACAATAAAAATTTGTTAGAAATGTTTTTGAAAAAAAGAAAAAAAGAAAGAGAGCAGAACACGTAAAAAAAAAAAAAATAGGCTATTGACTAATAACTTTAGAATTAATCAAAATTTAAAATAATATCAAATAAAAGATCTTTAAAAATAAATTTCTGTATTAAGGACAATTTTATTTAAGTCAAAGACTGTAAAGATTGTAAATATTTGTTACAATAAAAAAAAGATAATAATAATAATAATAATAATAACAATAATAATAATAATAATAATAATATAAACCTAAGCTAAATTCTAAATTAAATGTTCAAAGAAATACACATATTAATTAATAATAATAAATTTTAGAAATAAAGATATATTACATGAGGTTTTTGAGAGAAATAAATGAATAATGAATAAATAAATAAATAAATAATATTTTATTAAATTATAATATTGATTACAATATTTATGTGATGTAAGTGAAGTGATAAAGTGATATTACTGTAATTTATATACATTTCAAATTTTTCAATTTCAAGATTCATTATCTACAAAGAATTAATCATGTCATGCTATTTCTATTATTACTTGAAGTTTATAATCAAATAATTGAGAAGAAGCAAAGTTAAGATTATTATAAGAACTTAGTGAAATTCTATGAACGTTATTTAAAATCTCTACTCTTTACTTTACTTTACTTCAGGGATTTTGATATCTTAACCCATTGTTTGTTTTTTCCGAGAAGATCGTCTTTCTATTCTTTTTTCATTACTACCACTCCTAATAATTTCATCTTCGGAAATACCCGATGCATCACCATAATATGATGATACTACACTGTTCCTTAATCCTGATCCAATAGCCCTTCTTAAATTATCTGTCGTTATTATTTGTTCATTCTTATCATTAAAATTATCATCAGTTGGTGTACTTTTTAAAGAGATGTTATTATTTTCATAACTTGATATACTATTTCTATTTATATCTGGTGTACCATTACCTTTTAAACTTGATTGTTGTTTATTAAAACTATTTCTTTTTCCTATCCTTCTCGTTGATGTAACTGCAAATTCTGAGTATGGACTTGGCAATGGTGCAAGTAATAAATCTGTTGCAATACTATCAGTTCTTGATCCACCACTAATTGGAGTTCTTTCATAACGTGGTGAAGGTATATGTGGATTTATGTAAGCATGCATATATGCAGGTTCAATTATTACGTCTTGTCTTGTTTCTACCATAATTTGTTGTTCTAATATTTCTTCAATTGCATTATTTCCAATTAAAGTCATTGATATTGGCAATGATGATGATGATATTTCATTCGTTGGTAATGTTTTCATTTCCTTATTCTTTCTTTTTCCAATATTATTTTTTGCAATTTTTCCATGACTCGTTCGATGAGATTTTAATTTATTTAAACCTTTCTTTTTTAATGAGGAATGTCTCAAATGTGAAGTAGAAGTGATTGAATGTTTCGAGTGAAAACTTTTTGTATGTGAATTTCGTGATGAAGTATCATCCGAGCATGAACTTGAACTACAATCAAATTCTTCATTATTATTATCATCATCATCATTATTATTATTATTATTATTATTATCATTGGAAATATCTATAGTTGTATGATAATGACTTAATTCATGAAGATTATCAATATCGTAATTAAAAGTTTTTGGTTTTGTAACATTATAAGGAGATGAAATTGATCGTTGTAATGTAACAACACCAGTGTTAACAGAACCTACGTTAAAATCTGGGTAAACTATTAAAATCAATATTATATAAGTGATAAAACGACCAAAGTTTGAGTTCACTAATAGAAAGTCGGTAATAAATTTTAAATAATTAATATTTCCAGTTATACCATTAGGTTGCATAAAAATGGTATCAATAGAGAGGAGTAATGAAGCAACATTCCATATGAATAATGAACAAATAAGCCATAAATTAAAATCTTGAAAGATTTTTAATTGATCACAATTTTGAGTAAGAATAATGCTCCGTGTGGGAGAAGTTATCAAAGTTGTGATACCAAATTGGGTTCGAATGCTTAATAGGCATAATACGAGGACTATAATGGAAAAGATAAATTGAATAATGAATTCATCGTATTCCATATTTGAATGTTTGAAGACGAATGCTAATATTGGGAATCTTGATAAATAAATAAATAAATAAATAAATATATATATACAATAAATAAATAAATAATAAATATATAAAATAAATATAAAATAAAAATATATAAAAAAATAAAAAATATATATAATAACTAGATTATCAACTTACATCGGAAGTACAAGAATTGCCATAACTAGATAAATCCAGTATTCAAATACGCTAGTGAATTTTCTTCGTGAGATTTGTTCCATTATTAAACTCCAATAGTCTTGTAATACGAATAAACATGTTCTAAATATTTTTAAATATTTAATTAATATTAAATCTAATCTTTCTAAATGTAATTAAATGCAAACATAAATAAATATGTACACGCTTCAATATTGTACTACTCTACAACCCATATATAAATAAAGAATAAAGAATAAAAGAATGAAAGATTAATAAATTCTTTAGTCTAAAATAAAATTCCTAAATAAATTGATTTTCTAATGTCGTACAAGTTGATTTTGTTTATATTTTGTGAACTGATAAGGGAATTTATAATTGGTTTACATAATAAAAATTGCAAGGGGGATCATATATTTAAATCGAGAAACGCGGAATAAATGAAAAAAAAGGGGGAAAGATGGAAAAAAAGATAAAGAAATAAGGAAATAAAGGAAATAAAGAAAAAAAAAAAGATTAAGACTAAACTTACAACATAAATCCCATACTGACAGCATTTAGATAATATGCAACTTCAGAATAATCCAAATCTTGTTTATTCCAATTTGATTTAGGATTCTCTATAACCGCATCATCCTCATAATTTATATTTATGATATCATAGTAAAAAGTTTTAGGTAATGTTTCGTTAACATGTCTAGTAGGATCTTTCGCATATACATAACCTTCTTGATATTTTAAATAATATATCAAAATATCATGACATAATTGTGTGAATAATGAAAATATTAAGGAATAAGTGAATAATGAACGTGGATCTAAGCGTGCAAATACAAATGGTGAGAATGAACTAATATAACTGGGTCGGTAAACTCTTATTATCATCCTGTAATAAAAATAAATAAAATAGATAAAATAGATAAAAATACATACATACATATATATATATAAGTATTTGTAAAGTGTTTTGTAAAGTGTATCTGTAAAGCGTTTGTTAAAGTTTCTGGTAGAGAAGCTGAAAATGAACTTACCATATTAAAATAAACGGAATATAACATGCTCTAGCTAATAATGTGTTAAAAGAGAAATTATTAATATTCGACCAATCAATGTTTCGTATGTGCATAAGAAGAATGAAAACATACCAAGATTACTATTTTCGATATAAGTCATCATATTTTAGCTATTATCATAAGAGCTTGATTTTTCTTTTAACGTATATTCGTAAAATATTTTAATCGTTAAAAATTAGATTATTTTGATTGATCTTTATTCGTTTTGTTTTTTTTTTTTTTTTTATATTTTCTTTTTGTTTGTTGACAAGTAATTCTTTATTTATCGTCACTAAATTGATTGTAAATTATTATTATTATTATTATTATCTCTTTTGATAGTTACTCTATAACTTATTCAAAAAAAAAAATTTTTTTTCTTAAGAGTAAGAAGCAAAGAAAAATAAAGAGATGAGTAATTAATTTCAAACATTAAATAGTTTGTTATGTATGTAGTGTAAATACACAAAGATTTTACGAGGGGGTTAAATTGCTTATATCATAAATTGGGTTGTCCAAAATACTTAATAGGGAAAATATGGAAGAAAGACTGCAGAATAAAATATAGAAATATAGAAATTATTTGTCGTAAATATAAATAGTAATATCTATGAAACTGAAATGATTAAATTATGTTTATAAATGCTGTAGCTTAACTTTCTTTTAAAGAATTAAAAATAATAAATATTTACTCAATTAATAGTAAAATGAATTGCAATTTTTGAATCAAAACGTTATTTGTTTTGATTTTCTCCGATATCTTGTTTAAGCTATATAAAGAATCGACAAATTTGTTCCCTTTAACGATAGACAAAGGTATTAACTATTTTATACGTCAAATCTTCTCCAAATAAAGAAATCAAAATGAAACCGACAATCTTTTTTGAATGATAAGAAGTTTTGGATGAATTCCTTTTGTTTAAAAGAATTGGATGTAGGAATTAAAAAGGAATAGTCAAACTTTAAAAAAAATGAATTTCGTTTATTATCCTAGTTCAGATATGAGTAGTTTGATTTTCAAAATTGGTGCACATAATAGTGAAAAATAAAGAATAATTATCTTGAATGTCAACCAACTAAATTATTTTTAGAATCTATTAAATTCAAAAATGAATTCATTTACATTCTTCTAAAAAGTTAAGATGAGATAAAATTCTATCGATTATTTAATTAGTTGATTATTAAAAACATTGAAGATATAAATGTATACAATTGATTTAAAAATATAATTGATAAGAACATTTATGAGGATATTAAATTATCATCTACAAAGAATGATCATAATTTTTCTTTTTGAATAAGAATAAAAGTCTACATTGTGGAACAATTATTTGCTCAAATGGAATAGACAATCTGGCCTTCGAAAATATTTGCCATTATATAAATATAAACGTTCTATTCCACTAAATAGAAAAAGAACTCATAAAAGTTTTTCCGGATGTGACTCAATGGAAATACAGTTTAGAATACCTTCTAATGATAAAATGAAGAAATTAATTTTTCAAAAATCCAGTATCACATTGTATGGATAAAAATTGAATTTAGGAAATATTCAGAGAATAAAATTAATTGAGGAATAGATCGGCCTCCGCAAATCGAATCATTGCCAGACTAAAAATATAAAAAATGTCATGAAATGCATCTCTTCATACTTTGTAAAAGTTATATATTCAGTGAAAAAATAAGAATTGGATCATATTTCATGAATAAAAAGCTTTTTTAAATAATAAGAAAAACGCACCAAATATAATTTATTGTTTTTTTATAATGGAAATATCAATTATTGTAATGTAATCTCATTTTAGATAAATTGCATAAATTATACATCAATCACGTACCATTTAATGCTAGAAAAAATCTTAACTAGTTTGGGCAAGAATGAGACAAAAAACATTACACAATTTAAATTTTTGATTATATATGACCTTTAAATTAAATGCTTTTATTATTTAGTTATTTTAAAAAGTTTAAAAAGTTTAAAAAGTTTAAAAAGTTCAACTGAAGAAATCTATAGTAAAAAAAATTCTTATAAATACAACCAATGAAGGACATTCAAAACATTTCTTTATATATATATAAATGACATTATCAAAATTGTCAGGCGAGGCTCTGATTTCTTTGAAGATGAAAATAAAAAATCTGCCATGAAAAGCAGAAAGTCCTCTTCATTACGTTTGAAAAGACTTTTACGCTGATAAAGAAAAAATTCATATTCATATTCATTCACTTCCGATATTTAATTAAAAAAGTTCGTGCGTGGAATTTAAGAATTTGAATATACCAAAAAATTTTGGCGCAAATCTTTTGATTTTTTTTTTTGTAATTAATCTTGGTTTATTAATTAATTAATTACGGATTATCATGCTAAATAAGCATGAGAAAGCGTGACAGAATTTCATTCATTTTTGGCTATCGGATCAGGTGATTGGTCAAAAAAATTTTTATTAGAACAAAAGATATGTATCGATATAATTCATTGATTCACTAAAAGGTAAATATAAAAGGGCTTGATTATGTCAAAGCTAAATAAATAAATATACTTACATTAAAAAACTTCTATTATGAAAACTTTTAACGTCTAAGAAAAGTGGAATCAAATTGATCATAGCCAATGAGCGCTTCATACGTTGTCTTGTGATATACCATAGTCATTCGAAAAACTTGTGTAACGTGATCAAAAAAAATGAACTTTGGTGGTTTCTAAAAGTTCAATAAATTATTATTTTTTTGACATTTAAATATTGTCCTGTGTACAACATAACTGGCAGATGACAACAGATGACAAAACAGGGAATGAGATACCATCGACACCATCATAAAAATTTCAATCAAAATATGCACGAGTCAATAACAGCGGACGAAGAAAACGCAGTTCTGAATTCTCATCTTAATTTATCAGATCGAAATAGTATAGATTCAAACCATAATCCCTACCAAATAGGTGAAAATGGAAGAAACTCTAATCATATTAAGGGAAATAGTAAAATAACGAAAATGTTGTTGCTAACACAAATTATGGCTGGGTGTGTCAATTTTTTCTATTTAAAATATTATTACATTAGCAAATTAGTACATAGTGAATTGGTAATCATAAATTTGAATTATGCTTTGATTACTCAATAAATTCTCTTGAAATTATTATAAATCTCTAATTTATAGTTTACAACTTACCTGTAAGTAAAGATTTTACTTTGGACCTTTCATTTATCATTAAATTTTTCTATAAAATTTACACTGTTTTACGTTTTTAGGGTCAGTGGAGTTAGCATACGGTAAAGATTTTAAATAAGAGTGAATCAGCCATAATTTCTATGACATTCCAGGTTTCATATATAGATGAAATTACCTTTATTTTCTAGGAACTCCTTATTTACTTGATTTAGGGTTATCTAAATCGCAGATGTCTCTTGTATGGATTGCTGGACCTTTATCAGGTAAAGTTAAGATTTAATTTTATTAATTTATTAACTAATATCTTTATTTATTAACCCTTTATTTATTAAATCTATTTATTTGTTTGAAAAAAAGGTCTTATTACGCAACCCATAGTTGGAGCATTTTCAGATCGATCCACATCTAAATATGGACGAAGACGGCCTTATTTAATAGTAGGCAGTCTTATGGTTATCAATGCTTTTATATTAATAGGGTGGACAAAAGAAATAGTCGGTTTTTTTTTCAGTTCGGTAAATTATTCCTCTTTTTTTTTTAAAAAAAAAATAATATATTATTATTTTCCAACTAATATATCTAATATGCAATTTTAGTCCGAAACTGCATCAAAACTGGTGGCTGTATTCGCGTTTTACAATCTTGATTTTGCAATTAACGCTGGTTTGGACTTTTTTGTCGTTAATTATGTCTTTAATTATTAAACTGTACAGATTTAATAATTTTTTATTACTCTTATAATAAATTAGTAATGGCAGCTGCTCGTGCCATAATTGTTGATTGCCTACCTCCATCACAACAAGAGGAAGGCACAGCATGGGCCGGGAAAATGGTTGGTATAGGAAGTGTTATCGGTTATTTCATGTGAGTTCAAAAAGTTTTAAATTTTTATTAATTTTGGTATTAAATATAAATTAATAATAATTTTTTCAAATATAATAATCAATTTAAATTACAGGGGATATATAAATTTGATGCCTATTTTTCCTTTTATGGGTGATCAACTGAAAGCGTTATGCATTCTCGCATCTATTTCATTACTTTTATCTGATGCACTAATCTGTTGGGCAGTTTCAGAACAAATATACACCGATGAAATCAGGTTAGATTCAGTGACAATAACGTTTTTACATATTTAATTATATATATATATATATATATATATAAAATATATTCATAAAATTTCTTGAATATAGCACAAAAACTGCTTGGGCTTCCACCATGGAGACTTTTCATTCAATTTTCAAAGCAATTTTTAATCTTCCTAAACCCGTACAATACATTTGTAATGTACAATTTTTTGCATGGATGGGTTGGTTTCCATTTCTATTTTATTCCACTACATGGGTATCAGAAATATATGTACGTGAAAATGAATCTAGTTCAGATGATGAACGTAAATTACGCGAAGGTTCATATTCATTATTATTATTTTCACTTGTGGGCATGATTGCATCATTTGTTCTTCCGCATTTGGTTACTCCCTCAGGAACTGGAATCCCATTGAAGAGAATTAAAATAAGACATTTTTTGACATATCCATTGGTATTTTTAACACTACCTAAATTATGGACATTATCGCATTTTATCTTTGCCTTAGCAATGTTTTCAACGTGGTGGACAAAGAGTGTTTTTCAAGCTGATTTAATTGTAAGTTTCTTAGGGATATCTTGGGCAACATCAATGTGGGCACCATTTTCATTATTAGGAGAAATCATAGCAACAAACACAGAAAACATAGAAAATACAACAAATATCCTTAGTGAAGATTCTAGGCGTGATTCCATTTCTCAATTTTCAAGTTCGACAATAGGATTAGTTGAAAGAAATAGAATTAACGCGGAAGATCATGTTTATAGATTGGTTGAAACGTCTAATGGGAATAGTAATTCTGGTAAGATCGATTCAGGTACAATATTAGGAATTCATAATATGTATATAGTGCTGCCACAGTTTTGCGCTACTTTCTTCAGTAGTATAGTATTTGCTTTGTTGGACCCGGGAAGTATCACGAGCAATAATAATGAAGAAAGAAATATAATAAATTTGATGAAAAGAAATGGAGAAACAGATGCTGGAGCAGGTTCAATCGGATTTGTGTTTAGGTGTGGCGGATTGATGGCAATTATTGCAGGAATATACAGTATAAAACTTTGGAAATGAGGTTTTTGAATTTATATTTAATATTTATTCCCTCCCCATAATTTTTAGATTTTTTCTTTTTAAAATTTTAATTTTAATTTTGTATCAATCTTATACATCGATACTTTCTTTAAAAAAAATTTACTTTTTAATGACAACACAGGATTTCTTTAAATTTTGGAACTAGGAATTCATAATAAAATTGTAATTTAGATGAAATTTATGAAATTTAAACAATTCAGTTTTCATAATACTAATGTAAATGCAAGAATTAATTACCATGAGGGTCACAGGTTTAGATACTACGCTTTCTGCAAATTTTGCAAGAAAATATTTACATATCGCAATATAATATCATTAATTGGACGACAAATATATACCATTCATACCTACCTTCGACACCAACCTTTGCATCGTAACAAGTTACTTTGAGCTTTAGTAATATAAAACATGATTGATTCGGTCTAATAAGCTCTCTTTTTTCTATCTTGAACGCTCGTACTATTGATAAAAAAAAAAAAAGGAAAACGTGAAGAACGTTATTATTTATTCTGAAAAAATGAATCGCTTAAACTATCACCAATATTTCAATAATTATAAATTCTTACAGCTGAACGGGTTTTCGTCATCCCATATTAAAATGTTAAATAAATTTACCTTTTTCTGCGTAGCAATGCACTATTATCTGTAAAACGTAAAAACTACTTTTGAAATTGTCATTTGTCTAAAATATTACTTTTATCTAATATTTCTTTTTATGTTAATTACAATCGGTAACCGTAATTCGCTCATTTAGTTTTTTATTCTTAATTGGGTGTGAAATTGGTGGTGAAAGGACACTTCCAGAATTCTTTTCTGTAGGTTTCCACGCGTAATTGATATCCCGATTCATGTCTAGATATAAATTATTCCTTATGTTCTTCTCAGCTTCATTCTTCTTAAATCATTTCCGTTACTGCATGCACCTTTAGCATTTTCTGTTATTATTCAATCAATGACTTGATTAAAATTGTACAATTCTTAAATTCTTCTAAATGTACAGTGGTGTGCAAAAAAAAGTAACAATTTTTAAAATCACATTATTTGCATCAATTAAAATGTATTTTATATCATTTTGAAGCTGAAATTCCGCAGATTTTATTAAAAAAAAAATTAATATGATATTCTTTCCCCATTTTTTTTCAATAACCTCTTTACAACATTGAATTTACAAGATTAATTAGAAGGCTATTTGGACTTTTTTTCCATTCTTCACCCAAAAACTTTCTAATTCACTAAGATTTTTTGGTTTTTGTAACTCCACATTGTCACCAGTGGTTCCTGGTTCCCTTGAGGACAAACCAGTGAAGTGACTTAATGGTTCTTTTAAGGAGTTTATAGTCCTTTCCCAAAGATAAGATTGTTGTTCAGTTGTTTTAGAAGGCACCACTGGTTCAATTATTTTAGAAAGGGAATCAGACCTTTCATCCAATTTATTCCAATATCTTTCAAATTCATCATTACTTTTATTATTAAAATTGTTTTCCAGTTTTATCATGGTTGAGTATTATTCCCATTCATCAAGGTTAAGTATTATTCCAATTCCAGGATTTTTATAATAGTTTGTAATTAATTTCATTAATTCAAAAATAATAATATTATACAATTATATAATCAAGTATTTAATCCTATAATATTCATTATTCCCTTATTAACTATTATATTTTTATATTTAATAATTATTTTTTATGATTTTTATTTTATATTTCCAATATTATTATTTTATTAATCCAATTGCAAGGTAATTTTTACAAGTTTTTATCTTGGAGTTACAAATTATAAAATTAAATTTATTAATTTCAAATAAATTACAAATTGTCAAAATTATAAAATTGTAAAATAAGATAGTACCTTGACCTTTTTTATAAGTATTTTAGGTGATCTACATTACTGTTCCATTACTGTGCCTTACTGTACAGTACTGCATATTATTTCTATTGGTTAATATATTTATTATATGATTATGATTTACTAAAATTATCTAATTTTAAATAATAATAGTTAATTTGTTATTAATTAAGAATATGTGATGATAATTAATACTATATAATTGTAATTATGAAATTTGTGTAACTATATCACGTGAAAATGTGATTTATACTAGGCTAAATTATCAAATTATTTTTAATTTCATTTTTTACTAGCCAATTTACTAACCAATTTAGTAACCAACTGATTGGTACAATTACTGGTCAAGATTTTGATCAACTTACTAACCAACTTACTAGCCAAATCAAATAATATAAAAAGAGTAAATTTTCTCTTCACCCCAAGTTAAATTTGAATAGTTCTAAAATAGTAAAATTTAGAAAGTAATCTCAATTGTAATTAATTCTGTAATTGAATTAATATTTTTATAATCCTAAAGTAACTAGATTATTAATTTTCTTTATAATAAACTTATATTTTTTATATTAAAACTCTATTACTTTTCTATTAATTTATATTCTTCAAATATAAATTCTAATTAATAAACTTCTATTATTACTTTATAAATCATTGACAATTATATTTAGTTCTTTGCTCTAATTTTTCTTAAATTGCCTTTTAAAATTTAACTGTTGATACTATCTTTGAGAGAGTAAAGGGGCAAGTATAACAAGTGCTTGGGTTTAGCTCGGTAGTTATCAGTGAGTTTGGAAATATGGAAAGACAAATAAATATAAAGTAACTAATTTTCTATACTATAGAATAATAAAGACAAGGAAACTAGATAAAACAAAGAGATGACAAGTTAAAGGAAGAATAGTGAATACAGAGAAGAGAAAATATGGCAAATTCTAATCTGATGACAATAAGGAACAAAATGAAATAGTTTTACTAGGACTTTGTAAGGATTTTAAAGGATGAATGGTTCAAAGAATGAAGAAAGTAAGTTCCAGCTAAGTTACGTGACAGTTTGAGTGAAGAATTAAAGATCAATGGTTTATTTTAAGACTTTAGATTATACAATATAGACTTTACTTATAATTTATAAACAAATATAAAGGAATAAATAAATATGTGTATAAATTATTTATAGACAAGATAAAGATTTTATTAAGAAAATAGAGAAAATACAAAAAGAAATAAAGAAAATAAAGAAATCT